CCGTCCTTCTCTGGGTCTCCATAAGGAGGTCTTGGTGTCAGACCATGATAGAGGCCCAGAGAGGTGGTCAGGACTGGAAGAAGTCCCAGGACTGAATGCTGTGATTTCAGCAGCATGTCCCGCGTTTTAACAAAATGGCCCAAAAGAAGGGAGCAAGGGCTTGGCTTTGTCTCCCCCAAGGTCCTCGGCTCCCCAGTTCTTTCATAAATGATTCCTAGGGCCAGGTCTAGGATGCAACTCAGTTGGACCTGAACCAGAGAGTCATGTCCCGTTGTGGGGACAGACCCATGGACATTTTAGGAGCAGTCAGGTGGGAGGGAGATGCCCAAGTTTGTCTCGCATCCCCCTTAGCGCGAGGGGCGCTGACCGATGATGGGAACGCTTCAGGCACAGGGAGCAGCAAGGAGAGAGAGGAGAATGCAGCGCGCAGGTGCGGCAGTTTCAGGGAGCTGGGCGCCGGAGCTGGGGCGCAGACCGTGCGGGTCGTCTGCCTTGTGCGCCCGGGTTTTATCTTGGGGGTCCAGGTGGAGTTGCTAAGAGGTTTTGGGAGGAGACTGTCAGAATCAGATTTATGTTTTGGAAAAATGGCTTCAGACCAGAGACTGGCGTGAGGCCTGATTAGAGGATGGGGAAGGGGCGGCTGCCTGCGCCTGCGCCTGCGCCTGGGGGACTCGGAGGAGGCGCGAGCCCAAAATCTCCTCTGAAGCTGGCAAGTGAACTGATGCGAAACCTCCACAGGGCGCATGGAGAGGAATGGGCACTCTCAGGGACTGACTGTAGGCGTCTAAAGTGTACAGCCATTTCAGCAGCACATGTCATAAAAAAAAAAGTGTATTTATTCAAGTTGTGTAATTCCACTTCTAGGAATTCATCCTGGGGCGGGGGCTGGGGGTGGATAATCAAAGATATAACCAAAGGTTTACAAACAAAAATGATTAGCCCAACATTCTTAATGATAGGGGAGAACTAGAAATAACCTCACTATCCAGCAGAAAGCGTGTGAATAAATACACCGTGGAATACCCATCATAAGGAATCTTGCACAAACTTCCCAAATTATGTTTCTGAAGCATCTTGAATAATATGGCAAATTTCATTTTTAAAAGGATATGCAGAGTGCCAGATATACAGAATGCTTCCAATTGGGTTTTTTAATATGTATGCATTTTCAAAAGCTTATCAGAAAATATAGAAAAATGTCAGTGATATGTCTCTGGCTGGTGGGATTTTACCTGATTTTGATTTTTGCTTTATAGTTATCTATAGTTATGAAAATATTCACAAGAATATTTATTTTGTTTTTATCTCCTTAAATAATTTTAATACAAGAGTAACATGTACTTTTTAAAAAATTAAGCACAGAAGTATATAAAAATTGGGTGTTTCTGCTTATTATTTCTCTGCATGTTACCCTAAAACCCATTAGGCAGATACTGTCAGTTTGTTCTGTATACTTCCGGCCCCTCTCCTATGTATGTATGTCCCTGAAAACACACACAGAAACATCTAGTTGGTGTTGGGATTTTTATTTTCCAAAAATAGAATTATACTCTGCATGTTATCCTGCAACCAGCTTTTTAAACAACCTGTTACTGACATTTTCTATATCAACCCATAGGGATCTCCCATGTTCTCATGGTTTGGTAACACTTCAAAGTTTGGATAAACTGGAATATATTTAAACATTCCCCTATCGATGGACATTTAGGTTGTTTTCCATTTAAAAACATAAGTTACAAGCGATGCCCTGTTGAAATCTCCATATGCATATACATGGGCATGAACAACATGAACGACGTGTTTCCCTAGGGTGGATGCCTAAAAGTGGAACTGCTGGATCAGAGAGAAGGCGCTTCTGGCCTGTTGTCTTCCTGAAAAGCGGCTCCAATGTGCCTTCAATACAAGGTGTGACAGTGCCCTTTCCTCTATACCCTGGCCAAGAATGCGATATTGTTGATCTCTCCCCCCCCCACCCCCCGCATCTGATGAGCAAAAACGATAGTATGTTTGTGGTCTGTTTATCTGATCGTTGATAAAAATTATTTTCCTTTCCTATTTTTATTGACTGATTTTATTTCTTTTGTGAATTTACCGGTCATAATGTTGCCTATTTCTCCATTAAGTCAGTTGTATTTTCTCATAGAACCATAGAAACTCTTTATGTATTGGAGATATCAACCCCCTTGTTAAGTATCTATGTTGGAAATATTTTTCCTTGATCTGTTTTATGCCTTTTGTTAATGGGGTCTTTTGCCATAAAGCCATTTTTAATTTTTGTATGTCAGATTGGTTTGACTTTTGCCTTATGGTTTCTGTGATCTGTGGCAAGCACGGAGAGACATCTTCATTTCAATATTATAAGGTCATTGTTCTATTTTATTCTGGTGTTTTCATTGTTTTGGTATTTGTTTTGCTGGTTTTTATGTCACCTGGAGTTTATTTGTGTGTAGGGAGGCTATAACCTTATTTATTTTGCAAATGGAGAGCCAGCCATCACATATTTGTTGAATGTAAATGCAACATCTATCAAATACTAAATTATTGATTTATCACATTCCCTCTGTGGTTTTAATGATCTAATGACATATTTCTGCATCCGTTCCACTCTGTTTTAATTGTTTTAGCTTTAAAGTATGTTTTGGTATCTGGTAGGGAGAAGACCCATCATTAAAATTTTTGTTTTCAAAATAGCCATGTCTACTCTCTGTCATCATTCTTACTATTGGGCTTTAGAATCAACTTACTCATTTTCAAAAACCGTTCTGTGGGTGTCTGCTTGCAGCTGCGTGGAGTGCACTTGGGAAGAACTGACACGTCTGCGGTGCTCAGCATTTTCTTCCAGGGCCGCGGGCTGCCCGCTCCTCGCTCACTTTTCTATTGTGTATCTTAGCCAAGTTGTTTTATATTTTATTCCTGCAAATCTTGCACATTTTCTGTTAAGTCTATTCCTGGGGTTTTTAAATATAATTTTTACCGAAGCTATAGAATTGTCCCCAATTTCATATCTTAAATGGTTACTGTTGGTATAGAAGGGAAAACTACTGATTTTTGTGTGTTGCTTTTGTATTAAGTTACTTTATTTAACTCGTATTAGCTCTACTAGTTCTTCAGCTGGTTGTCTTGGGTTTTTCTGTTTGGTTGGTTGGTTGGTTGTTTATTTAAGTAGACATCATGTGCAAAGAACAATGTTCTCTTCTTTTCCTTTACTTACACCTTTCCCCCTTCATCTCATTTTATTGGCTAGAATCTATAGAACGTGTTGAATAATAGAACTGAGAGTGGGCAACCTGGCCCTTAAGAAGGTTTTACCTTGAAATGTGAAGGTTGCTGTGAATTTGGGGAGACACCCTTTATTGAGTTGAGGAAGTTTTCTTAGGTAATTAACCTAATGAAAAGACTGGATGTTTGCTTTCCTTAAATCAGAAGCAAGTGTTGAATTTATATTAATATTCCATTAAGTTTTGTTTCGAAAATCGTCTGTGCACATCTTAACTACCCCCGTGACCAAATGGTCCTGCTGCTCAGGTGAAAAATACTGGCCCTGAGGCAGTGGGTTATCTTCCAATTTAGATAAACTTATCGAGAGGTAAAGTCAGATTAGGCAAAGCCTAAGGTTTTCACCGTCAAAAACTCTTAGTGCTTGGGGGTTTCTGTTTATTTGTCTAAGTATTTTAATGGTATTTTTGTTCAATGGTAGAATGTCTACAACACAGAGGCGTTTCAACGAGGGGAAAGCATCCTGGGATGACTCCGGGCCTCTGGCTTGGAGAGGAACCTGCTAATGTAGGGGAAGTGTGAGGGGTTTCTGTGGGGCCTGTCGAGTCTGAGGTGGCTGCTGGGCATTCAGAAAGAGCTCAGGGGGCAGAGTGCACGTGAACCTAGAGCCAGAAAGGGAGGTCAGGTTGGAAATAGGGATGGGAGACTCTTGGGAAGTCGTTGGAGTGCACCAAGTAGGTCAGAAGCAGAGAGAGAGGGAGGGAGAACAGGCAGGACAGGATTCTGGAGGTCTGGGGGGTCAGTGGTCATGGGAGAAAGGGAAGGGGAGAGTGGGTAGGCTCAGACACCAAGGGAAGGACAGACACCAGAAAGAGGGACCTCGTGCCGAGATATCAGGACACTGGGGAGGGGACCTCAAACTGACCAGGTTGAGGGTCTTGTTGGCTTTGGCCTGACAGGTTTCAGGGAATGATGGGGTGAGAGCCAGGGGGCCCCCAGTCATGTCCCAGCACATGAAACAGTTGGGCGCCATTGCTGGACCAATTCAGATAACAGATGGATGGGTGGGAGGACAGAGGTCTGACCCATGAGAAAAACGCTGTGAAAGAGGTGGAACTGAACGGGGTCTCAGCGTGTGGAGACAAAGCGGGGGGATCTCCGCATGGGAGTGGCATTCGTCAGGAATGACCTGGTGTCCGTAGGCCCAGGGAGAGGTTCGCCTGGCTGGAACCTGGGGAACTGTGGGGAAGGAACACTCAGGGGTCCTAAAATGAGGCCAGGAGCGGTCAGGCAGGTGTGAGCTGCACCACACAGCTGCCTGAGGGGACAAGGCACTCCGAACCCCTGTCAGCACTGAGCCGGCGGGGCGCAGGACAGCCTCAGGGGTGCCGGGGGCAGGGGACACACTGGGTCACTCCAAGGCATGGGCGGCGCCTGCCTTGAACGAGGGGCCTGGCATAGGGGCTCCTCTGGGCTCTGGACGCCCCCCCCCCACGGTTGCCGCAGCCCCTGGGGGCTGATTGCCCGCGGCCCTGCCCCGCCACAGAGCACAGCTGCAGCCCCGCGCCCGTCACGCCCAGCAGGCCCCCGGGGGCCAGGCCCCAGGTGCTGGCCTGGTGGGTTTTAGTCCGAGCCTCAGTCACCGTGTTATGTGTTCGGCGGCGGGACCCACCTCACCGTCCTAGGTAAGTGGCTCTCCCCACCTTTTCTGTCTGTTCTGCCCCGCTGCTGTCTCGGGGAAGTCCCCCTTCTCTCTCTGTGGGCTGCTTCCCTCTGCCCTCCAGCCTTACAGACCAACCTCCACTTTCTCTGTGGGGCCTGGGAGGCGGGTTGGTCTTGGGGTAACCAGAAGGAGGGACCCCGTAGCAGAGCCCCAGTAACCACTCCAAAGTCTGACACTCAGACACGACCAGGCCCTAGAGGCCTGAGCTGGGGGTTTGGCCTAGGAAACGGGGTCCTTGCCCTCTTCCAGGGCAGATGTCTGTCTGCAACAGGGACAGAGACCATTCCTGACAGGGTCACTGGGGCAGCCTTAGAGGCAGTCCCAGGCACCGAGGGTCTAGGCTGAGGGCTCCATGCCCATCCAACGTCAGCGAGCCATACGGGAGGCTGGGGCTGTGACTTAGCCTTTGGGGACACAGAGGACAGCCTGAGGGAGGGCCCATGGAGGGCGGCAAGAATGGTCTGGCTCACTCTAGGCTGAAGCCCGTGGGGCCTCTAGTGACCTGGAGGATGTGGGGATGCAGAGGCACGGGTGAGGGGGCGTAAAGTGGCCCCCTCAGGACGATGGTCAGAAAGGAGTGGGTCCCAAGGGGCAGAGACTTATCTCACCCTTGATCCCTGAGACCTCAGCAGCCCAGGTACCCCATCTGTCCAAGGGTCAGGCTCCTATAGTGTGTTAGAGTCGGGAGGTGATGAATGGGGGAGTGAACAAGGGACTTAGAGCCACACAGCTGCCCCATGAAATCAGGGGTGGCTGTGGGGCCTCTGAGCAGCCTCAAGAATGCAGCCAGGATTAAGGGTCCAGGGGTCAGGGCACGAGGGACGCAGAGACAGGCAGAGCCCCAGGGAGCTTAGGCTGCGAGGACCCCGTTTTCACTGGAGAGCCAGGGCCAAGCTGGGACAAAGCCAGGTGCCCAAAGGAGGCGGGGGATCCGGGCCGCACTGTGTGCTGGGCTCAGGCTCGGGGCCTCTCATGGGCTGCCAGGATCAGCCCAGCCGGCAGGGTAGGGACCCCGGGTCACAGAGGAGGCACTGGGCTCTAGAAAAATGAAGTGAGGTGGGGGCCAGGTGCAGGGCAGAGGGCTCAGGAGATGGGGCCAGACTCTGCGCTCAGAAGGGTTGACAACCTGCCTGGTTACACTCAGGGGAACTAAGTTGGCAGGTGGAAGGGCTTGACCAGGTCCCCTGGGAGAGGTGAGGTGGAAGGGCTTCTAAGAGGGTGAGAGGCTGTTTTCTGTACAGGGGAAGAGTAGAAAGAAAAGGACAGAAAAAGAAGAGTCCCATGGGTGAACAAAAGCAGACACCATGGGACTGATCACAAAAACTATAGAAAGGTTTGGGAGCAACCCAATACCTAGATTCCTGCCCTGCGTCTAACAATCCCTCCCCCACCGACAGGTCAGCCCAAGGCCGCACCCTCGGTCGCTCTGTTCCCGCCCTCCACTGACGAGCTCAGCAACAACAAGGCCACGCTGGTGTGCCTCATCAGTGACTTCTACCCCGGCGTCGTGACGGTGGCCTGGAAGAAAAATGGCAGCCCCGTCACCCAGGGCGTGGAGACCACCAAGCCCTCCAAACAGAGCAACAACAAGTACGCGGCCAGCAGCTACCTGAGCGTGTCGCCCAGCACGTGGAAGTCAGCCAGCAGCTACAGCTGTCATGTCACGCACGAAGGCAGCACCGTGGAGAAGTCAGTGGTCCCCTCTGAGTGTTCTTCAGAGTGAGTCCCCCTCCTTGGGGGCCCTGCTCAGCCAGAACCCCCATTCCTCAGCTCTCCGCTGTACCGCTGGGACTCCACCCAGGTCCCCTCAGACTTGGCGGGTCTCACCCCCTCCTTGTTTCTACTGTCCTTAATAAAGACCTGATCATGTATCATCTGGCATTTCTCATGTGTGTTCTGTATTCTGGATGGGTCTCCAGGTGAAAAGGTCAGTATTAAAGGGCAGGACAGTAATGACATGAAGGCCCCTCTACTCGCCATCCACTCAACCAACCCACCTCGGACTTGAGTCAGCTCTGAGTGCCGGTGGAAGCCCTGACCTAGAGCAGGACCTTGCCTTACGGAGCCAGCCCCAGGATGCAGTCCTTGTCCACAGGGGAGGGAGAAGGGCTGAGTGTGAGGGATCTGGGGATCCTGAGGAGGAATCAGGGAGAAATGAAGAGGGTCCCGGGAGGGCAGCCGTGGGCTGCAGGTGGAAATATGGGGGAAGGAAACCCTTGAGCCAAGGCCACGGTCTTGGCTGTCCCATCCAGAAACCCAATGGGGAAGCGTGAGGGGTTCATGGTTGGTCTGTCACCATGGAACCATGGAAAGCTTTGAACAATGCATCCCATAAGTGCATTTCTCAAACTTTCACAATGCATGTTAGCTAAGTACAGACACTGACGAGGCCAGCAACAGGCAAAGTTTCCTATCACACAGCCTAACAGTTTCCAATCATGTCCACACCCCCTTCCAACTCAGGGATGCCTGGAACACGCTTCAAGGCATGGTTTACTGCTGCTGGGAACATGGGGTGAGGCTGAGGCACAAGGAAGCTCTCCTTCTGTTCTGGTGGGCCTGGTCAGGCTCAAGGTGACCCTAACAGGGAGCTGGGGCCCCCATCGTGGAGACCTGAAGTCGGATCAGGGAGAGAGTTTTTACGGTTGGTATATGATGCAGCAGGTGATGTCAGCCTGCAGTGGGTGGGGGCTGTGGGACACGGGAGGACCAGATGAGAAAGAAAGGGCACCGTCCGCCCTGGGCACCATGATATACAAGAGGGTCTTGCTGGCAGGAATTCAGGAGAAGAGTAAGACTGGCTCAGAGCAGGGTGAATGTGGCCTGTGGGTTCCAGCGAGTCAGGCTTCCCTGGTGACACAGCAGCCCCAGACCACTCTACCCACAGGCACGCTGTACCCTCACTCACTTGGACTCAGCCCTGAGTGTACCTGAGCTAGTGCCAGGGACACATTCACCCCCAGGGCCTTGAGACAGGTTTGTCAGCTTCTCAAAGGTGCAGGCCCATCCAGCTTTGTCATACCTCAGGGCCTCTGGCATCCCAGGTCCCTTGTCTGCACCTCCAGCTCATCAGAGACATGGAGCTGCCTACACCATAGCTGCTGAGCAACTAGGACAGCCTAGCAACAGAGCCTGCAAGGACAGGGAGCACGGAGCCACGATGGGGCAGAGGAATGGGACCCCTTGGAGCTTGATCCCAGTCACCCAGTCCCAGATACAACCTAAGAAGTGGAAGGCAGAGTAGGGCGTCCCGCTGCCCCACAACCGCTGCCGGACCCCATTTTATGGATCTGAATGTGAGGCCCAAATGAAAGACGGAACCACCAGGACCCCCTCGTCTCAATGTCCGAATGGCTGCAATGCCAGATCCACCCACCCCGGGGCCAGCCTGGGGCCGCCTTGCACTAATCTCCCATTTCTTTTCTTGTAGCTTTTTATTATGGAAAAATGAAAACACAAAAATAAGGTCACAGAGCAATAAGAATACACCCATGTGCTGATGAACCAGATTACAAAATAAACAATTTACCGGCAATGCCAGCCCAACAGCAACAGGATAAATTCTCCCTTCTGCAGTATTTTGAAGCACATTCCACTACCATCTCTTCAATCTGTAAATAATTCATTGGTTCACTAAAAAATAAGAACATTAAAAAGTAACAAAAATATCATTCTCCAACCAAAACAGGATTAAGTGTAAATCATTTATACCCATAGATGGTTTTTCACCCAATGCCTCATAATTCTCCAAAGTGAGTTTACTTGCTGTATTTTAGGTACCGTTGTTACTTGGGATTTTTATTTTATTTACATATAGGGATGCAATAAGATTTTAGATTGAGACTGGCAGATGTTGGATCTGTAGGTATCTCTCAATGGCTCCAGATTTTCCTTAGAAGGAAGTGGCCAGGGGGGTTGAGCTGCTGGTCATGCGGAGGTTCCCACAGTCAGGATGCGGACCCCAGGCTCCCCAAGCTGTAGTTGGTGGCTTTCTCTGTTTTACATTCCTACTGAGTGGTTCTGATATCAGAGAGTACTGAGGACCAGGTTGGACTTGGACAGAATTGCCGCCCCCGATTGTGGCTTACTTTACACAAAGGGACCCATGTCGCACTGAACTCCTCAGAGGGGCATTAGCTGCTCTCATGTTCAGTGACCTGCCTATCAGATGGAAGAAGTGCATCACGGGAATGTTCACTTCGGCCCTCCCCCTCCTACGAGGGCCCACAGTCAGGGCCTTCAGCGCATTTCCCCTCTCCCCGTGGTGTGTTTCACACTAGGAAGAAGGGAGAAGTGCAGACTCCTCTCTGCTGTCTGCCAGGCTACAGCGTGATTTTTGGTCCCTGCCTTCCCCCCATGGTGAACGATTGTTCTGGATGACATGCCAAAGGCCACCCTGTGAATGTATCTACTCTCTGAACACAATGCCGCCGCTATCCTCTAGTAAGGATCACAATGAGGCTGCAAATGATGGACACTTGCCCACTGCAGATGGTTTCTGGATGCCCTAACAGGACCCCAGCGGATCTCTATGGCTCCTACTTTGTGGGTGACAACACGTTCCAACTCATCTTGGGCGGACCTGCCCTGGGCCTGACATCAGCCACTGGCGCAGCTTCCCTTTGGTGTGAAGGGGGATTTAGGGTCATAGTCGAGGTGCTGCTCATGTTTCCCTTTGAATGAGGCAGAGCAACAGCTGCACCACCGGACCCTTCCCACCATGAGAGCAGATTGAAGGACAGCAGGCAATACTCCCAAGGTCACCCTGAAGGACAAGCAAGGTGTCCTACAGGGCCTCCCTGACTTCACCCACTACAATCCCTAACTAGGTTGTCACTAGGGAAGATGAGGTTGGGCCTGATCTGATGGTTGGGAACCTAGGGAGTGGCCCGCAGACTCTGTACACAGGCCACATGCCTCTCCCTGGAAGGAGAAGGTGGAGAGGTAGGGATTGCCCTCTGCCCTCCCCTCGTGCCCTCACCAAGGAGGTGAGGAGGTGTGGACCCATGAGAGATGTGCCATTCGTTGCCACGGAAGCTCTCACAGTGACAGCCCTGCCCTGCACACTCATCCCAAATCCCAGGAGACGCCATTGGGGACGGCACATCAGACACCAAAATCAAATGGGAGAATTGCTTCCTACAGCGTTGTTGCTGGGCATCTCCACATGTCATACATCCTGAAATCTGCTTGACAGGGGTGGGCAGTGCATGTGCCTCTTGCAAGCAGACAGCAGCCTGTGGAACTGCCCCAGGCTGCTTCCTTCACAGCTGCAGGTGGAGGGCTCAGGGGTGGGGCAGGGCCAACCAAATAGGTTTTTGTTTGAGTCTGTGTCACAGTGTGTTGTGTTCGGCGGCGGGACCCATCTGACCGTCCTCGGTGAGTCCTCTCCCTCCTTCCCTGCTTTCCCAGCACTGTGCAAAATTTTCCACTCCTTTTACTCTTTTTCTAAGTCTTATCTCAGCCTATACCTAAGCTTTCACCCAGGGTCCCAGTAGCTGGGACGCTGAGCTCCTCCTGTCCCTGTTCTTACTGCCCTACTTGGCTCCATTGCTCACTGTCCAACCTTCAGCTCTGATCCCAGTGACAGAGGAATGGACAGACTGACCTGTAGACTCTTCTAAGTGTCTGCCAGGGTCAGGCTGGGTTCCTGACAGGCTTGGTTCTGTGCTCCCCTCGGGCTCTTCTGTAACAGGTTTATTTCAAGGGGTTACTAGGGATCCCCTCTCAAGGGGAAGAGAGGATGAGCAGTACTGAGGGGGCTTGTGTGACCACAAGGAGGCTTTAAGAGGACCCGGAACCTCCAAGGACAAGACGAGAGGAAAAGGTCAAGGGTCCATGAGTTGCTCAGGGATACGGCACTGGTAATCACGGGCACTGCAGGCAGGGACAGGTTCCCCGGGCCCTGGGCAGAGCTGCCATGCAGTGTCCCCTACCTGCCTGGGACCACACAGCCCTGCGGGAGAAACAGCACAGCACCGTGGAGAAAGTACGGAGGAAGGGTCATGCGAGGACAGGGGATGAGACAAGGTGGGCTCCTCGGTCTCTGTGGGTAAACCTTCACACAGAGAACTGCAGGCTCTAAGCATAAAATCTTGAAGTTTGCTCAGGGCGAGGGAGAGGCACAGAGAGGAGATGCCAATTGTACAAAGAAAAAGACCCTAGACAAGACACAGACTTCTCTTGCATTAGGCAAGACCTGTGGTCTCAGGGAAGGTCTAGGACAGAGGAGTTTCAGGGGCAAATAGACCCTTAGAGCAAACACCTAGGATGTAAGAAGAAAAGTGTCAGTCAAATGTACAGAGATGGACAAAGAAGGAGAACAGACAGGTCATGTCATCCTTTCTGGAACCACACACAGAGACACACCCTGTCACTGGATCAGGAAGAGTCAGAGGACCAGGGTGACAGTCGGATGTCTGTGTTGTAGAAGAGAGTCCAAGAGCAAAGTCGAAGGAAGGTGTCCAAGCTCAGGGTCTCTCAGAAAAATGGAGAGTTGCTTTAGGAACACACCAAACGGCACCACATGGTGAGGAACTCATGCCCTGAGTGGCGTCTGGAAGAGACATCTAACCTCATTCCCTCGCCTTCCCTCCCCCATTGACAGGTCAGCCCAAGGCCGCACCCTCGGTCGCTCTGTTCCCGCCCTCCACTGACGAGCTCAGCAACGACAAGGCCACGCTGGTGTGCCTCATCAGTGACTTCTACCCCGGCGTCGTGACGGTGGCCTGGAAGAAAAATGGCAGCCCCGTCACCCAGGGCGTGGAGACCACCAAGCCCTCCAAACAGAGCAACAACAAGTACGCGGCCAGCAGCTACCTGAGCGTGTCGCCCAGCACGTGGAAGTCAGCCAGCAGCTACAGCTGCCACGTCACGCACGAAGGCAGCACCGTGGAGAAGTCCGTGACCCCCCTCGGAGTGTTCCTAGGACCTGAGCCCCATGTTCGGGGCCGCTCTCCCACAAGATCCCCCACTCCCCGGCTCCCCACCGTGGCCCTGGGACTCCTGCCCAGGGCTGCTGAGGCGGGGCAGGTCTCCCCGACTCCCCGCTTCCCATCGTCCTCAATAAAGTCTTGATCATGTATCACGGTCTGAATCTGGTGTGTAGTCGCCATGTGAGGACGTCTCTGGGACGAAGGGCTGCTGACCCCGGCTCAGGGGCCTTTCCAGGGGGAAAATGGTTCCCTGGCCTCCCACCCACCTAATTCCCCGGGATGAAGCTGCAGTCTCAGTACGAGGAGAAGCCATGACCCAGAGGGTGGACTTGTCCTGCAGGGCTGACCCCAGGGACCCAGTCCATGTCACCTGGGGAGGCAGAAGTGCTGAGAGAGAGGCTTCTGGGCACTTTTCGGGGTCAGAAAGAAATGAGGAGGTTTCAGGAGGGTCAGTGGTAGGAAACAGAGAGGAGGACCCTTGAGCCGAGCCCTCTTCTTAAAGGGACAGCAGTTTATTTTCCTGTTCCTCGGGAAGCCCAGTAGAACCACAGAAATCTGGGCGATATCTCCCCAAACTCCATGTCGCAAACTTCAGCACTGAATACTAACCAAGTCCAGACACGGATTAGGTCGGCAGCAAACGCATAATTGGTTTCCACTGTGAACATGTGGTGTTCGCCCTCATGAGTGGAAGAGACAGGGCAGAATAGGGCACCTTCCTGGGCCCGGAGAGAATGCCATGTCCTAACCAGGGACACGGTGTCACCTGGAATTGAGAAGCAGAGCGGGGGCAGGTCAGAAGACCTCAGGACAGTGGGAGCGTGGCCCACGGGCGCAGTAGGGCCAGCCTCCCGGGTGACCCAGCACTGCCTTTGCTCAGGGCCCCTCCCCAGCGTGAGCGCATTCCAGGGCTGACCAGCGGCTCTCCTTCACACCAGAGGGCCTGTGCTTCCTTCAGAAACGGAAAGAGGACACTCTCTTTCCATTCCAGCTCACCAATTGACAGCAAGGTGTCCAGGCACCCCCTCAGGGGATAAATAACATTTAAAACAATGGCTAACAATACATCGGGGGTGTATCTGCTACACAAATACATGGTTGTACCCCTCTCGTGTCGATGGCCATAGAGTGGCATCTGTTGGAACTAGCATCTCAGAGCCTGTTCACATGGCCTCTGGGGACACTGACACGACCTGGGAAAATAAATGGCTCCTGCTTTATGTTGACAACAGGGTCACCGCTCCCCTGGCGCCTTTCCATCCCACACTGGAATCGACCGGTGATCAGAGGGCGCTGACTTGAATGTAGGATTCGCGACCCCAGGCCCTAAACCTGTAAACCCGATTCTGGAGAGACAAGGAGAGTGTCTGGAGTTCATCGAGGAGGAGGGGCTGCCATTACTTGGTGTGTAAGTAGCTGACCCCTCGGGCAATCACAGAGTCTCCCGTCCACAGGGAACGTGAGGAGGACGCCTTGAGGGTGGAACGGGGGTCAGTGCTACATTCCCACAGCGAGCGCTGGCCAGGGCCCTGCCTCCTCCGCTGCGGGGATGCGGGACCCCGCCAAGCCCTGCAGGAAGGGAACGTCTCTTCACGGCCGGGCGACCTGGCTCCTGTTCCTGGTCACGCTGAAGGCCATGGAGACACGAGGGCCCAGACAGCAGCCACACTGTGCAGCCTGGCTCTCCAGGGAGTCTGCTGATGAGCACATGCAGACACGGGTGCTGTCTCACGGTGTGGCTGGGAGGTGGGGCGGGGGCTTCAGGGCCCCATGCGGAGCAGACAGCAGCCTGGGGCAGAGGCCCAGGCTCCCCCCATCGCAGCTGCAGGTGGGGGGCTCAGGGGTGGGGCAGGCCCTCTCTCAGAGGTTTTTGTCTGAGGCTGTGTCACAGTGTGCTGTGTTCGGCGGAGGGACCCATCTGACCGTCCTCGGTGAGTCGCTCCTTCCCCCTCCTTCCCTGCTCCTCCACACTTTTGTGCGGTGTTCTGCTGCTTTTTCTTCTTCTCAGGGTTTACTCTCAGCCAGTACCCACGCTTTCACCCTCCATCCTAACCATTAGGACAATGAGCTCCTCTTGCCCCCTTTCTCCCTGTCCTCCTTGCCTCCACAGCTCACTCTCTCACACTCCTCTCTGACCCTGAGACCGGGGAAGTGACAGAGTGACTGCAGACTCTCCTATGTGTCTGCCAGGGTCAGGCCGGGTTCCTGATTGTTCTCTGGTCTGTGCTCCCCTTTGGGCTCTGGCGGTCCAAGTTTATTAGAAGGCGTTACTAGGGGTCCCCTCTTAAGGGGAAGAGAGGAAGGGTAGTCCTGAGAGGTGACAACATGGAGACTTTAGAAGGACCCTGACCCTCAGGGCCAAGGCTATGGACACAGGATGATCAAAAATAGTCCTTGAGGAAGCGGGGGTCCTGCTCACGGGCCGGGCCTGATGCAGGCGAACACGGGCTCCAGCGTCCCTGCGCGGAGCAGCCACGCTGTGGCGCTTGCCACACTGGGACCCGACGGCCCTGCAGGAGCAAGAACACAGTGGGCACGAGAAGGTGCTGGAGCAAGGGTCACCGAATGACAGGGATGAGGGCAACGGGGGCTCCTCGGTCTCTGTGGGAAATACTTCACTGGGACAAGTGCAGACTCCACAGCCTGAAAGGTCTCGTGGTGTGACCCGTTCGCGGAGTGTGTTGGGGGCTGACTAGCGCACAAGGAGTCAGACCCCAGGACAGACAGAAAGACTTCTGTTGCACCTCAGAAATACCTATCATGTGACAGAGGGTGTAAGAGAGAGGTTCAGGGAAGAACTGACCGCTTAGAACGCAGCCCCTAAGACCCCAGCACAAAAGTGCCAGGAGAAATGTAGAGATTGACCCAAGAACAGGCCAGAGAGCTCATATCTTTCCCAGGAACAAACAGACAGGCAGAAGCTCTCAGATTAGTAGGAAAAGGCAGAGCCAGGTGAGTGACAATGATGTATCTGTGTGGTAGAAGAGGGTCAAAGGACAGATGGTGGAGGGTGTCCAGGCTCGGGGTCTCTCAAGTAAAAGGGAATTGCTTTAGTAACACGCCAAACGGCACCACATGGCAAGGACTTGGATGCCCAGAGCGGCGTCTGCATTAGACATCTGACCTCCTCCCCTCGCCTCTCCCACCGACAGGTCAGCCCAAGGCCGCACCCTCGGTCGCTCTGTTCCCGCCCTCCACTGACGAGCTCAGCAACGACAAGGCCACGCTGGTGTGCCTCATCAGTGACTTCTACCCCGGCGTCGTGACGGTGGCCTGGAAGAAAAATGGCAGCCCCGTCACCCAGGGCGTGGAGACCACCAAGCCCTCCAAACAGAGCAACAACAAGTACGCGGCCAGCAGCTACCTGAGCGTGTCGCCCAGCACGTGGAAGTCAGCCAGCAGCTACAGCTGCCACGTCACGCACGAAGGCAGCACCGTGGAGAAGTCCGTGACCCCCTCGGAGTGTTCCTAGGACCTGAGCCCCATGTTCGGGGCCGCTCTCCCACAAGATCCCCCACTCCCCGGCTCCCCACCGTGGCCCTGGGACTCCTGCCCAGGGCTGCTGAGGCGGGGCAGGTCTCCCCGACTCCCCGCTTCCCATCGTCCTCAATAAAGTCTTGATCATGTATCACGGTCTGAATCTGGTGTGTAGTCGCCATGTGAGGACGTCTCTGGGACGAAGGGCTGCTGACCCCGGCTCAGGGGCCTTTCCAGGGGGAAAATGGTTCCCTGGCCTCCCACCCACCTAATTCCCCGGGATGAAGCTGCAGTCTCAGTACGAGGAGAAGCCATGACCCAGAGGGTGGACTTGTCCTGCAGGGCTGACCCCAGGGACCCAGTCCGTGTCACCTGGGGAGGCAGAAGTGCTGAGAGAGAGGCTTCTGGGCACTTTTCGGGGTCAGAAAGAAATGAGGAGGTTTCAGGAGGGTCAGTGGTAGGAAACAGAGAGGAGGACCCTTGAGCCGAGCCCTCTTCTTAAAGGGACAGCAGTTTATTTTCCTGTTCCTCGGGAAGCCCAGAGAACCACAGAAATCTGGGCGATATCTCCCCAAACTCCATGTCGCAAACTTCAGCACTGAATACTAACCAAGTCCAGACACGGATTAGGTCGGCAGCAAACGCGTAATTGGTTTCTAGTGTGAACATGTGGTGTTCACCGCCATGAGGTGTAGAGACTGAGGACAGAAAGGGCACTTTCCTGCGCAGGGAGAGGGAACCATGTCCTGTCAGGGACACGGTTTCACCTGGAATTGAGAAGCAGAGGGGGGGCAGGTCAGAAGACCTCAAGACACTGGGAGCGTGGGCCTGGGCTGCAAGACACTGGAGCACCGCCTTTGCTCACGGCCCCTCCCCCCAGGCGAGTGACTCCCCACGGTGACCCAGCGGCTCCCCCTGACACCTGGAGTGTGCTCTCCTCTAGAAAGGGAAATGCAGATTCTTTCTTTATATCTCACTACAATTGACAGCAAGGTGTCCCACCCCCTGCAAGGGGATAAATAACATTTAAAACAAGACTACACTGGATTGTGTCTGTATCGCACAATACGCGCCCGTTATCCCCCAGTGACATTGGCTATGGAGTGGCAACTGTTGGAAACCTAGCGTCTGGAACATCTTCACGTGGGCCTGGGACACGACACGTGACATGGGAACATAATTGGCTCCTGCTTTACGATTGACAACAGGGTTCTCACTCACCTGGCGCCTTTAAACACCCGTGGCTGGAATCGACCACTGATCAGTTTTCCTGAAACAATGTAGGATTCAGGACCCCTAACTCTCTTCCTATAAACCCGATTCTGGAGGGAAGAGGAGAGTTCTCCCAAGTTCGCGGTGGAGGAGGGGCTGCCATTACTTGCAGTAGAAGCTGAGGACCCCTTCGGGGCAATAACAGACTCTCCCGTCCACAGGGAACATGAGGCTGAGACCTGAGGGTACAGTGGGGGTCAGTGCTACATTCCCACAGCGACCGCCTGCCTGGGCCCTGCCTCCTCCGCTGCGGGGAAGCGGGACACTCCGCCAACTCCTGCAGGAAGGGAACGTCTCTTCACGGCCGGGCCACCTGGCTCCTGTTCCTGGTTCTGGTGAGGGCCATGGAGACACGAGGGTCCCAAAGAACAGCGACACTGTGCAGCCTGGCTCTCCAGGGAGCCTGCTGATGTGCACATGCAGAGACGGGTGCTGTAACACGGTGTGGCTGGGGGAGGGTGGGGGCTTCAGGGCCCCATGCGGAGCAGACAGCAGCCTGGGGCAGAGGCCCAGGCTCCCCCCATCGCAGCTGCAGGTGGGGGGCTCAGGGGTGGGGCAGGCCCTCTCTCAGAGGTTTTTGTATGAGGCTGTGTCACAGTGTTGGGTATTCGGCGGAGGGACCCATCTGACCGTCCTCGGTGAGTCGCTCCTTCCCCCTCCTTCCCTGCTCTTCCACACTATTGGGCAGTTTTCTGCTGTTTTTCCTCCCTCTCGGCTTTTCCTCTCAGCCTGTACCCAAGCTTTCACCCTGCATCCCAACCCTTGGGACCCAGAGCTCCTCTTGTCCCCTTTCTCCCTGTCCTACGAGCCTCCTCGGCTCACTCTCAGACACTCCTCTTGACCCCAGAGACAGAGGAATGGACACGGTGACCTGTAGACTCTTCTCTGTGTCTGCCAGCGTCAGGCCGGGTTCCTGACGGGCCCTGTTCTGTGCTCCTCTTTGGGTTCTGGTCTAACAAGTTTATTGCGAGGGCTTCCTAGGGGCCCCTCTTAAGGGGAAGAGAGGAGAAGTGGTCCAGAGGGGTGGACCGCGTGGAGGCTTTAGGAGGACCTGGAACCCTCAGGGCCCAGGCTTGAGACACACCTGGGTCAGGTGTGCGGGTCAGATGTTCAGGGAAGGTCCTTGGAGAGGTGGGGCTCCTGCTCACGGACCGAGGTTGACACGGGCGTGGGCAGGCTCTCCGGGGCCAGCACAGAGCTGCTCTGCAGTGGCCCCCACCAAACAGGCAGCCCCGCCGGAGGGAGAACACAGTGGGGAGGAGAAGGTGCTCGAGGAAGGGTCACCCAGTGACAGGGGATGAGGACCAGGTGGGCTCCTCGGTCTCTGTGGGAAAGCTTCCCTGGGAGAAGTGCAGACACCATAGCCTGAAAGCTCTGGCGCTGTGACCCGTTTGCTGAGTGGGGCGGCGGGGGTGACAAATGTACATGGAGGGAGACAGAAACAGTTCCGTTGGACTCGCCAAGATTTACAACGTCAGGGAAGGTCCAGGAGAGAGCGGTTCCAGAAACAATCGGACCCCTTAGATCAACGACCTTAAGACTTCAACAGTTACGTGTCAGGTCAGAAATGTACACCGAGTGACCCAAGAGGAGGCCAGAGAGCTATGTCATCTTTTCTAAGGGCAACGAGATAGACAGACCTTGTCCCAATATCCAGAGGAGACAGAGCCAAGAGCGGGAGAGTCAGATGTCTCTATGTCAGGACAGGGTCCCAAGGGACAGGGGACGGCTGGTGTCCAGACTCAGGGCCTTTCAGGAAAATGGCAAGTTCCTTTAAGAACACGGCAAACTACTCGACATGGTAAGGATGCTTAGAGCCAGAGTGGCCTCTGCTCTTGACATCGACCTCCTGTCCCTCCCCCAACGACAGGTCAGCCCAAGGCCGCACCCTCGGTCGCTCTGTTCCCGCCCTCCACTGACGAGCTCAGCAACGACAAGGCCACGCTGGTGTGCCTCATCAGTGACTTCTACCCCGGCGTCGTGACGGTGGCCTGGAAGAAAAATGGCAGCCCCGTCACCCAGGGCGTGGAGACCACCAAGCCCTCCAAACAGAGCAACAACAAGTACGCGGCCAGCAGCTACCTGAGCGTGTCGCCCAGCACGTGGAAGTCAGCCAGCAGCTACAGCTGCCACGTCACGCACGAAGGCAGCACCGTGGAGAAGTCCGTGACCCCCTCGGAGTGTTCCTAGGACCTGAGCCCCATGTTCGGGGCCGCTCTCCCACAAGATCCCCCCACTCCCCGGCTCCCCACCGTGGCCCTGGGACTCCTGCCCAGGGCTGCTGAGGCGGGGCAGGTCTCCCCGACTCCCCGCTTCCCATCTTCCTCAATAAAGTCTTGATCATGTATCACGGTCTGAATCTGGTGTGTAGTCGCCATGTGAGGACGTCTCTGGGACGAAGGGCTGCTGACCCCGGCCCAGGGGCCTTTCCAGGGGGAAAATGGTTCCCTGGCCTCCCACCCACCTAATTCCCCGGGATGAAGCTGCAGTCTCAGTACGAGGAGAAGCCATGACCCAGAGGGTGGACTTGCCCTGCAGGGCTGACCCCAGGGACCCAGTCCGTGTGACCTGGGGAGGCAGAAGTGCTGAGAGAGAGGCTTCTGGGCACTTTTCGGAGTCAGAAAGTAATGAGGAGGTTTCAGGAGGGTCAGTGGTAGGAAACAGAGAGGAGGACCCTTGAGCCGAGCCCTCTTCTTAAAGGGACAGCAGTTTATTTTCCTGTTCCTCGGGAAGCCCAGTAGGACCACAGAAATCTGGGCGATATCTCCCCAAACTCCATGTCGCAAACTTCAGCACTGAATACTAACCAAGTCCAGACACAGATTAGGTCGGCAGCAAACGCGCAATTGGTTTCTACTGTGAACATGTGGTGTTCACCGCCATGAGTGTAGGGCTGAGGACAAGGAAGGGCACTTTCCTGCGCACGGAGAGGGAGCCATGTCCTGTCAGGGACACGGTGTCACCTGGAATTGAGAAGCAGAGGGGGAGGGCAGGTCTGAAGACCTCAAGACACTGGGAGCGTGGGCCTGGGCTGCAAGACACTGGAGCACCGCCTTTGCTCACGGCCCTTCCCCCCAGGCGAGCGCCTCCCCGGGGTGACTCCAGTGGCTCCCCCCCGACCCTGGAGTGTGTCAGTCCTCTAGTAGAAGGGGAAATGCAGATTCTTTCTTTATATCTCACTTTATCAATGAGGGCAAGGTTCCCTACCCCCTGCGAGGGGAGAAATAACATTTAAAACCAGACTACACTGGATTGTGTCTGTATCGCAGCGTGAATACGCGCCCGTTATCCCCCAGTGACATTGGCTATGGAGTCGCAACTGTTGGAATTTACCTACGTGGAACATCTTCACGTGGGTCCTGGACTCGCACGTGACATGGGAACATAATTGGCTCCTGCTTTACGAATGACAACAGGTTTCTCACTCACCTGGTGCCTTTAAACACCCGTGGCTGGACTCCCCCCACTGATCAGTTTTCCTGAAACAATTGTAGGATTCAGGACCCCTAACTCTCTTCCTATAGAACCCGATTCTGGAGGGAAGAGGAGGTTCTCCCAAGTTCGCGGTGGAGGAGGGGCTGGCATTACTTGCAGTAGAAGCTGAGGACCCCTTCGGGGCAATAACAGACTCTCCCGTCCACAGGGAACATCAGGCTGAGCCCTCAGGGTACAGTGGGGGTCAGTGCTACATTCCCACAGTGACTGCCTGCCTGGGCCCTGCCTCTTCCCCTGCGGGGATGCGGGACACTCCGAACTCCTGCAAGAAGGGAACTTCTCTTCACGGCCGGGCCACCTGACTCCTTTCCTGGTTCTGGTGAGGGTCATGGAGACACACGGTCCCAAAGAACAGCGACACTGTGCAGCCTGGCTCTTCAGGGAGCCTGCTGATGTGCACATGCAGAGACGGGTCCTGTAACACGTTGTGGCTGGGGGGAGGGTGGGGGCTTCAGGGCCCCATGCGGAGCAGACAGCAGCCTGGGGCAGAGGCCCAGGCTCCCCCCACGGCAGCTGCAGGTGGGGGGCTCAGGGTGGGGCAGGGCCTCCCACAAGGTTTTTGTATGAGGCTGTGTCACAGTGTAATGTGTTCGGCGGAGGGACCCATCTGACCGTCCTCGGTGAGTCTCTCCTTCCTCCTCCTTCCCTACCTTCCCACACTTTGGGGCTGTTTTTCCTCCTTCTCAAGGTTTACTCTCAGCCTGGAACCAAGTTTTCACCCTGTATCCCAACCCTTGGGATGATGAGCTCCTCTTGTCCCTGTTCTCACTGTCCCTCTTGCCTCCACTGCTCCCTCTCAGACACTCCTGTCTGACCGCAGAGACAGAGGAATGGACAGGGTGACTTGTAGACGCTTCCATGGGTCAGGCAGGGTCAGGCTGTGGTCCTGTCCGGGCTCTCTCCTGTGCTCCCCTTCGGGTCTGGTCTACCAGATTTATTTGTAGGGGTTCTTGGGGATCGTCTCCCAAGGAGAAGGGAGGATAAGTAGTCCTGAGGGCTTGGCCATGTGGAGAAGATAGGAAGGCCCAGCACCCTCAGGGCCATTGCTAGAGACACAGAGGTCAGAGGTTCTGGGAAGGTCCTCAGGAGGTGGGGCTCATGCTCATGGGCCCGGAATGATGCAGGGTGGACGGGCTCCCTCGGACCAGAGCAAAGCTGCCATGCAGTGTCCTTTACTGCATGGGTCGAGACAGCCCTGCAGGAGAGGGCACGCAGTAGGGACGAGAAGGTGCTAGAGGAAGCGTCATGCAATGACAGGGGATGGGACAAGCGAGCTCTTCAGTTTCTGTTCGAAGAACTTCACTGGGAGAAGCGCAGACTATCAAGAAGGCTCTGGTGGGGGGCTTGTGTCCTGAGTGTGGAGGGGGGATGCAAGGCACGAGGAGGTGGACAGAAAGACTTCTGTTTGACTAGACAAACTTACCATGTCGGGGAAGGTCCAGCAGAGACAGGTTTCAGAAAACGCTGACCCGTTAGATCAAAGACCCTAAGACTTCACGGAAAAATGTCAAGTCAGAAGTGTACTGAGATGGACCAAGGGGAGGTCATGTCACCTTTTCTGGTGACAAACAGGTAGACAGAAGCTGTCACAAGATGAGGAAAAGGCATGGCCAAGAGGGTGACAGTAGGATGCTTCTGTGGCAGAAGGGGGGTTCAAAAGGACAGGTGATGGCTCGGGTCCGGGCTCCGTGTCTCTGAGGGAAATGGGAGTTGCTTCAAGAACATGGCAAACGGCTCTACATGGAAAGGACCGCGGGGCCCAGAGTGGCCTCTGAGCGGGACATCAGACCTCCTCCCCTCCCCTCCCTCCTCCCCCACCGACAGGTCAGCCCAAGGCCGCACCCTCGGTCGCTCTGTTCCCGCCCTCCACTGACGAGCTCAGCAACGACAAGGCCACGCTGGTGTGCCTCATCAGTGACTTCTACCCCGGCGTCGTGACGGTGGCCTGGAAGAAAAATGGCAGCCCCGTCACCCAGGGCGTGGAGACCACCAAGCCCTCCAAACAGAGCAACAACAAGTACGCGGCCAGCAGCTACCTGAGCGTGTCGCCCAGCACGTGGAAGTCAGCCAGCAGCTACAGCTGCCACGTCACGCACGAAGGCAGCACCGTGGAGAAGTCCGTGACCCCCCTCGGAGTGTTCCTAGGACCTGAGCCCCATGTTCGGGGCCGCTCTCCCACAAGATCCCCCCACTCCCCGGCTCCCCACCGTGGCCCTGGGACTCCTGCCCAGGGCTGCTGAGGCGGGGCAGGTCTCCCCGACTCCCCGCTTCCCATCGTCCTCAATAAAGTCTTGATCATGTATCACGGTGTGAATCTGGTGTGTAGTCGCCATGTGAGGACGTCTCTGGGACGAAGGGCTGCTGACCCCGGCTCAGGGGCCTTTCCAGGGGGAAAATGGTTCCCTGGCCTCCCACCCACCTAATTCCCCGGGATGAAGCTGCAGTCTCAGTACGAGGAGAAGCCATGACCCAGAGGGTGGACTTGTCCTGCAGGGCTGACCCCAGGGACCCAGTCCGTGTCACCTGGGGAGGCAGAAGTGCTGAGAGAGAGGCTTCTGGGCACTTTTCGGGGTCAGAAAGAAATGAGGACGATTCAGGAGGGTCAGTGGTAGGAAACAGAGAGGAGGACCCTTGAGCCGAGCCCTCTTCTTAAAGGGACAGCAGTTTATTTTCCTGTTCCTCGGGAAGCCCAGAGGAACCACAGAAATCTGGGCGATAGCTCCCCAAACTCCATGTCGCAAACTTCAGCACTGAATACTAACCAAGTCCAGACACGGATTAGGTCAGCAGCAAACGCGTAATTGGTTTCTAGTGTGAACATGTGGTGTTCGCCGTCATGAGTGGAAGAGACTAGGACAAGAAGGGCACCTTCCTGCGCCGGGAGAGGGAACCATGTCCTAGCCAGGGACACGGTGTCACCTGGAATTGAGAAGCAGAGGGGGGGCAGGTCAGAAGACCTCAAGACACTGGGAGCGTGGGCCTGGGCTGCAAGACACTGGAGCACCGCCTTTGCTCACGGCCCCTCCCCCCAGGCGAGTGACTCCCCACGGTGACTCCAGTGGCTCCCCCCTGAACCTGGAGTGTGTCAGTCCTCTAGTAGAAGGGGAAATGCAGATTCTTTCTTTATATCTCACTTTATCAATGAGGGCAAGGTTCCCTACCCCCTGCAAGGGGAGAAATAACATTTAAAACCAGACTACACTGGATTGTGTCTGTATCGCTGTGTGAATACGCGCCCGTTATCCCCCAGTGACATTGGCTATGGAGTCGCAACTGTTGGAATTTACCTACGTGGAACATCTTCACGTGGGTCCTGGACTCGCACGTGACATGGGAACATAATTGGCTCCTGCTTTACGAATGACAACAGGTTTCTCACTCACCTGGTGCCTTTAAACACCCGTGGCTGGACTCCCCCACTGATCAGTTTTCCTGAAACAATTGTAGGATTCAGGACCCCTAACTCTCTTCCTATAGAACCCGATTCTGGAGGGAAGAGGAGGTTCTCCCAAGTTCGCGGTGGAGGAGGGGCTGGCATTACTTGCAGTAGAAGCTGAGGACCCCTTCGGGGCAATAACAGACTCTCCCGTCCACAGGGAACATCAGGCTGAGACCTCAGGGTACAGTGGGGGTCAGTGCTACATTCCCACAGTGACTGCCTGCCTGGGCCCTGCCTCTTCCCCTGCGGGGATGCGGGACACTCCGAACTCCTGCAAGAAGGGAACTTCTCTTCACGGCCGGGCCACCTGACTCCTTTCCTGGTTCTGGTGAGGGTCATGGAGACACACGGTCCCAAAGAACAGCGACACTGTGCAGCCTGGCTCTTCAGGGAGCCTGCTGATGTGCACATGCAGAGACGGGTCCTGTAACACGTTGTGGCTGGGGGGAGGGTGGGGGCTTCAGGGCCCCATGCGGAGCAGACAGCAGCCTGGGGCAGAGGCCCAGGCTCCCCCCATCGCAGCTGCAGGTGGGGGGCTCAGGGGTGGGGCAGGCCCTCTCTCAGAGGTTTTTGTATGAGGCTGTGTCACAGTGTCGGGTATTCGGCGGAGGGACCCATCTGACCGTCCTCGGTGAGTCGCTCCTTCCCCCTCCTTCCCTGCTCTTCCACACTATTGGGCAGTTTTCTGCTGTTTTTCCTCCCTCTCGGCTTTTCCTCTCAGCCTGTACCCAAGCTTTCACCCTGCATCCCAACCCTTGGGACCCAGAGCTCCTCTTGTCCCCTTTCTCCCTGTCCTACGAGCCTCCTCGGCTCACTCTCAGACACTCCTCTTGACCCCAGAGACAGAGGAATGGACACGGTGACCTGTAGACTCCTCTCTGTGTCTGCCAGCGTCAGGCCGGGTTCCTGACAGGCCCTGTTCTGTGCTCCTCTTTGGGTTCTGGTCTAACAAGTTTATTGCGAGGGCTTCCTAGGGGCCCCTCTTAAGGGGAAGAGAGGAGAAGTGGTCCAGAGGGGTGGACCGCGTGGAGGCTTTAGGAGGACCTGGAACCCTCAGGGCCCAGGCTTGAGACACACCTGGGTCAGGTGTGCGGGTCAGATGTTCAGGGAAGGTCCTTGGAGAGGTGGGGCTCCTGCTCACGGACCGAGGTTGACACGGGCGTGGGCAGGCTCTCCGGGGCACAGAGAGCACAGAGCTGCTCTGCAGTGGCCCCCACCACACAGGCAGCCCCGCCGGAGGGAGAACACAGTGGGGAGGAGAAGGTGCTCGAGGAAGGGTCACCCAGTGACAGGGGATGAGGACCAGGTGGGCTCCTCGGTCTCTGTGGGAAAGCTTCCCTGGGAGAAGTGCAGACTCCATAGCCTGAAAGCTCTGGCGCTGTGACCCGTTTGCTGAGTGGGGCGGCGGGGGTGACAAATGTACATGGAGGGAGACAGAAACAGTTCCGTTGGACTCGCCAAGATTTACAACGTCAGGGAAGGTCCAGGAGAGAGCGGTTCCAGAAACAATCGGACCCCTTAGATCAACGACCTTAAGACTTCAACAGTTACGTGTCAGGTCAGAAATGTACACCGAGTGACCCAAGAGGAGGCCAGAGAGCTATGTCATCTTTTCTAAGGGCAACGAGATAGACAGACCTTGTCCCAATATCCAGAGGAGACAGAGCCAAGAGCGGGAGAGTCAGATGTCTCTATGTCAGGACAGGGTCCCAAGGGACAGGGGACGGCTGGTGTCCAGACTCAGGGCCTTTCAGGAAAATGGCAAGTTCCTTTAAGAACACGGCAAACTACTCGACATGGTAAGGATGCTTAGAGCCAGAGTGGCCTCTGCTCTTGACATCGACCTCCTGTCCCTCCCCCAACGACAGGTCAGCCCAAGGCCGCACCCTCGGTCGCTCTGTTCCCGCCCTCCACTGACGAGCTCAGCAACGACAAGGCCACGCTGGTGTGCCTCATCAGTGACTTCTACCCCGGCGTCGTGACGGTGGCCTGGAAGAAAAATGGCAGCCCCGTCACCCAGGGCGTGGAGACCACCAAGCCCTCCAAACAGAGCAACAACAAGTACGCGGCCAGCAGCTACCTGAGCGTGTCGCCCAGCACGTGGAAGTCAGCCAGCAGCTACAGCTGCCACGTCACGCACGAAGGCAGCACCGTGGAGAAGTCCGTGACCCCCTCGGAGTGTTCCTAGGACCTGAGCCCCATGTTCGGGGCCGCTCTCCCACAAGATCCCCCACTCCCCGGCTCCCCACCGTGGCCCTGGGACTCCTGCCCAGGGCTGCTGAGGCGGGGCAGGTCTCCCCGACTCCCCGCTTCCCATCGTCCTCAATAAAGTCTTGATCATGTATCACGGTCTGAATCTGGTGTGTAGTCGCCATGTGAGGACGTCTCTGGGACGAAGGGCTGCTGACCCCGGCCCAGGGGCCTTTCCAGGGGGAAAATGGTTCCCTGGCCTCCCACCCACCTAATTCCCCGGGATGAAGCTGCAGTCTCAGTACGAGGAGAAGCCATGACCCAGAGGGTGGACTTGCCCTGCAGGGCTGACCCCAGGGACCCAGTCCGTGTGACCTGGGGAGGCAGAAGTGCTGAGAGAGAGGCTTCTGGGCACTTTTCTGAGTCAGGGAGTAATGAGGAGGTTTCAGGAGGGTCAGTGGTAGGAAACAGAGAGGAGGACCCTTGAGCCGAGCCCTCTTCTTAAAGGGACAGCAGTTTATTTTCCTGTTCCTCGGGAAGCCCAGTAGGACCACAGAAATCTGGGCGATATCTCCCCAAACTCCATGTCGCAAACTTCAGCACTGAATACTAACCAAGTCCATACACAGATTAGGTCGGCAGCAAACGCGCAATTGGTTTCTACTGTGAACATGTGGTGTTCACCGCCATTAGTGTAGGACTGAGGACAAGGAAGGGCACTTTCCTGCGCACGGAGAGGGAGCCATGTCCTGTCAGGGACACGGTGTCACCTGGAATTGAGAAGCAGAGTGGGGGCAGGTCAGAAGACCTCAAGACACTGGGAGCCTGGGCCTGGGCTGCAAGACACTGGAGCACCGCCTTTGCTCACGGCCCTCCCCCCAGGCGAGTGACTCCCCACGGTGACTCCAGTGGCTCCCCCCCCCCGACCCTGGAGTGTGTCAGTCCTCTAGTAGAAGGGGAAATGCAGATTCTTTCTTTATATCTCACTTTATCAATGAGGGCAAGGTTCCCTACCCCCTGCGAGGGGAGAAATAACATTTAAAACCAGACTACACTGGATTGTGTCTGTATCGCAGCGTGAATACGCGCCCGTTATCCCCCAGTGACATTGGCTATGGAGTCGCAACTGTTGGAATTTACCTACGTGGAACATCTTCACGTGGGTCCTGGACTCGCACGTGACATGGGAACATAATTGGCTCCTGCTTTACGAATGACAACAGGTTTCTCACTCACCTGGTGCCTTTAAACACCCGTGGCTGGACTCCCCCACTGATCAGTTTTCCTGAAACAATTGTAGGATTCAGGACCCCTAACTCTCTTCCTATAGAACCCGATTCTGGAGGGAAGAGGAGGTTCTCCCAAGTTCGCGGTGGAGGAGGGGCTGGCATTACTTGCAGTAGAAGCTGAGGACCCCTTCGGGGCAATAACAGACTCTCCCGTCCACAGGGAACATCAGGCTGAGCCCTCAGGGTACAGTGGGGGTCAGTGCTACATTCCCACAGTGACTGCCTGCCTGGGCCCTGCCTCTTCCCCTGCGGGGATGCGGGACACTCCGAACTCCTGCAAGAAGGGAACTTCTCTTCACGGCCGGGCCACCTGACTCCTTTCCTGGTTCTGGTGAGGGTCATGGAGACACACGGTCCCAAAGAACAGCGACACTGTGCAGCCTGGCTCTTCAGGGAGCCTGCTGATGTGCACATGCAGAGACGGGTCCTGTAACACGTTGTGGCTGGGGGGAGGGTGGGGGCTTCAGGGCCCCATGCGGAGCAGACAGCAGCCTGGGGCAGAGGCCCAGGCTCCCCCCACGGCAGCTGCAGGTGGGGGGCTCAGGGTGGGGCAGGGCCTCCCACAAGGTTTTTGTATGAGGCTGTGTCACAGTGTAATGTGTTCGGCGGAGGGACCCATCTGACCGTCCTCGGTGAGTCTCTCCTTCCTCCTCCTTCCCTACCTTCCCACACTTTGGGGCTGTTTTTCCTCCTTCTCAAGGTTTACTCTCAGCCTGGAACCAAGTTTTCACCCTGTATCCCAACCCTTGGGATGATGAGCTCCTCTTGTCCCTGTTCTCACTGTCCCTCTTGCCTCCACTGCTCCCTCTCAGACACTCCTGTCTGACCGCAGAGACAGAGGAATGGACAGGGTGACTTGTAGACGCTTCCATGGGTCAGGCAGGGTCAGGCTGTGGTCCTGTCCGGGCTCTCTCCTGTGCTCCCCTTCGGGTCTGGTCTACCAGATTTATTTGTAGGGGTTCTTGGGGATCGTCTCCCAAGGAGAAGGGAGGATAAGTAGTCCTGAGGGCTTGGCCATGTGGAGAAGATAGGAAGGCCCAGCACCCTCAGGGCCATTGCTAGAGACACAGAGGTCAGAGGTTCTGGGAAGGTCCTCAGGAGGTGGGGCTCATGCTCATGGGCCCGGAATGATGCAGGGTGGACGGGCTCCCTCGGACCAGAGCAAAGCTGCCATGCAGTGTCCTTTACTGCATGGGTCGAGACAGCCCTGCAGGAGAGGGCACGCAGTAGGGACGAGAAGGTGCTAGAGGAAGCGTCATGCAATGACAGGGGATGGGACAAGCGAGCTCTTCAGTTTCTGTTCGAAGAACTTCACTGGGAGAAGCGCAGACTATCAAGAAGGCTCTGGTGGGGGGGCTTGTGTCCTGAGTGTGGAGGGGGGGATGCAAGGCACGAGGAGGTGGACAGAAAGACTTCTGTTTGACTAGACAAACTTACCATGTCGGGGAAGGTCCAGCAGAGACAGGTTTCAGAAAACGCTGACCCGTTAGATCAAAGACCCTAAGACTTCACGGAAAAACGTCAAGTCAGAAGTGTACTGAGATGGACCAAGGGGAGGTCATGTCACCTTTTCTGGTGACAAACAGTTAGACAGAAGCTGTCACAAGATGAGGAAAAGGCATGGCCAAGAGGGTGACACTAGGATGCTTCTGTGGCAGAAGGGGGTTCAAAAGGACAGGTGATGGCTCGGGTCCGGGCTCAGTGTCTCTGAGGGAAATGGGAGTTGCTTCAAGAACATGGCAAACGGCTCTACATGGAAAGGACCGCGGGGCCCAGAGTGGCCTCTGAGCGGGACATCAGACCTCCTCCCCTCCCGTCCCTCCTCCCCCACCGACAGGTCAGCCCAAGGCCGCACCCTCGGTCGCTCTGTTCCCGCCCTCCACTGACGAGCTCAGCAACGACAAGGCCACGCTGGTGTGCCTCATCAGTGACTTCTACCCCGGCGTCGTGACGGTGGCCTGGAAGAAAAATGGCAGCCCCGTCACCCAGGGCGTGGAGACCACCAAGCCCTCCAAACAGAGCAACAACAAGTACGCGGCCAGCAGCTACCTGAGCGTGTCGCCCAGCACGTGGAAGTCAGCCAGCAGCTACAGCTGCCACGTCACGCACGAAGGCAGCACCGTGGAGAAGTCCGTGACCCCCTCGGAGTGTTCCTAGGACCTGAGCCCCATGTTCGGGGCCGCTCTCCCACAAGATCCCCCACTCCCCGGCTCCCCACCGTGGCCCTGGGACTCCTGCCCAGGGCTGCTGAGGCGGGGCAGGTCTCCCCGACTCCCCGCTTCCCATCTTCCTCAATAAAGTCTTGATCATGTATCACGGTCTGAATCTGGTGTGTAGTCGCCATGTGAGGACGTCTCTGGGACGAAGGGCTGCTGACCCCGGCTCAGGGGCCTTTCCAGGGGGGAAAATGGTTCCCTGGCCTCCCACCCACCTAATTCCCCGGGATGAAGCTGCAGTCTCAGTACGAGGAGAAGCCATGACCCAGAGGGTGGACTTGTCCTGCAGGGCTGACCCCAGGGACCCAGTCCGTGTCACCTGGGGAGGCAGAAGTGCTGAGAGAGAGGCTTCTGGGCACTTTTCGGGGTCAGAAAGAAATGAGGAGGTTTCAGGAGGGTCAGTGATAGGAAACAGAGAAGAGGACCCTTGAGCCGAGCCCTCTTCTTAAAGGGACAGCAGTTTATTTTCCTGTTCCTCGGGAAGCCCAGTAGGACCACAGAATTCTGGCCGATATCTCCCCAAACTCCATGTCGCAAACTTCAGCACTGAATACTGACCAAGTCCAGACACGGATTAGGTCGGCCGCAAACGCGCAATTGGTTTCTAGTGTGAACATGTGGTGTTCGCCCTCATGAGTGGAAGAGACAGGACAGAATAGGGCACCTTCCTGGGCACGGAGAGAATGCCATGTCCTAACCAGGGACACTGTGTCACCTGGAATTGAGAAGCAGAGCGGGGGCAGGTCAGAAGACCTCAGGAGAGTGGGAGCGTGGCCCACGGGCGCAGTAGGGCCAGCCTCCCGGGTGACCCAGCACCGCCTTTGCTCAGGGCCCCTCCCCAGCGTGAGCGCATTCCAGGGCTGACCAGCGGCTCTCCTTCACACCAGAGGGCCTGTGCGTCCTTCAGAAACGGAAAGAGGACACTCTCTTTCCATTCCAGCTCACCAATTGACAGCAAGGTGTCCAGGCACCCCCCTCAGGGGATAAATAACATTTAAAACAATGCCTAACAATACATCGTGGGTGTATCTGCTACACAAATACATGGTTGTACCCCTCTCGTGTCGATGGCCATAGGGTGGCATATGTTGGAACTAGCATCTCGGAGCCTGTTCCCGTGGCCTCTGGGGACACTGACACGACCTGGGAAAATAAATGGCTCCTGCTTTATGTTGACAACAGGGTCACCGCTCCCCTGGCGCCTTTCCATCCCACACTGGAATCGACCGGTGATCAGAGGGCGCTGACTTGAATGTAGGATTCGGGACCCCAGGCCCTAAACCTGTAAACCCGATTCTGGAGAGACACGGAGAGTGTCTGGAGTTCATCGAGGAGGAGGGGCTGCCATTACTTGGTGTGTAAGTAGCTGACCCCTCGGGCAATCACAGAGTCTCCCGTCCACAGGGAACGTGAGGAGGACGCCTGAGGGTGGAGCGGGGGTCAGTGCTACATTCCCACAGCGACCGCTGGCCAGGGCCCTGCCTCCTCCGCTGCGGGGATGCGGGACCCCGCCAAGCCCTGCAGGAAGGGAACGTCTCTTCACGGCCGGGCGACCTGGCTCCTGTTCCTGGTCACGCTGAAGGCCATGGAGACACGAGGGCCCAGACAGCAGCCACACTGTGCAGCCTGGCTCTCCAGGGAGACTGCTGATGAGCACATGCAGACACGGGTGCTGTGTCACGGTGTGGCTGGGAGGTGGGGCGGGGGCTTCAGGGCCCCATGCGGAGCAGACAGCAGCCTGGGGCAGAGGCCCAGGCTCCCCCCATCGCAGCTGCAGGTGGGGGGCTCAGGGGTGGGGCAGGCCCTCTCTCAGAGGTTTTTGTTTGAGGCTGTGTCACAGTGTGCTGTGTTCGGCGGAGGGACCCATCTGACCGTCCTCGGTGAGTCGCTCCTTCCCCCTCCTTCCCTGCTCCTCCACACTTTTGTGCGGTGTTCTGCTGCTTTTTCTTCTTCTCAGGGTTTACTCTCAGCCAGTACCCACGCTTTCACCCTCCATCCTAACCATTAGGACAATGAGCTCCTCTTGCCCCCTTTCTCCCTGTCCTCCTTGCCTCCACAGCTCACTCTCTCACACTCCTCTCTGACCCTGAGACCGGGGAAGTGACAGAGTGACTGCAGACTCTCCTGTGTGTCTGCCAGGGTCAGGCCGGGTTCCTGATTGTTCTCTGGTCTGTGCTCCCCTTTGGGCTCTGGCGGACCAAGTTTATTAGAAGGGGTTACTAGGGGTCCCCTCTTAAGGGGAAGAGAGGAAGGGTAGTCCTGAGAGGTGACAACATGGAGACTTTAGAAGGACCCTGACCCTCAGGGCCAAGGCTATGGGCACAGGATGATCAAAAATAGTCCTTGAGGAAGCGGGGGTCCTGCTCACGGGCCGGGACTGATGCAGGCGAACACGGGCTCCAGCGTCCCTGCGCGGAGCAGCCGCGCTGTGGCGCTTGCCACACTGGGACCCGGCGGCCCTGCAGGAGCAAGAACACAGAGGGCACGAGAAGGTGCTGGAGCAAGGGTCACCAAATGACAGGGATGAGGGCAACGGGGGCTCCTCGGTCTCTGTGGGAAATACTTCACTGGGACAAGTGCAGACTCCACAGCCTGAAAGGTCTCGTGGTGTGACCCGTTCGCGGAGTGTGTTGGGGGCTGACTAGCGCACAAGGAGTCAGACCCCAGGACAGACAGAAAGACTTCTGTTGCACCTCAGAAATACCTATCATGTGACAGAGGGTGTAAGAGAGAGGTTCAGGGAAGAACTGACCGCTTAGAACGCAGCCCCTAAGACCCCACCACAAAAGTGCCAGGAGAAATGTAGAGATTGACCCAAGAACAGGCCAGAGAGCTCATATCTTTCCCAGGAACAAACAGACAGGCAGAAGCTCTCAGATTAGTAGGAAAAGGCAGAGCCAGGTGAGTGACAATGATGTATCTGTGTGGCAGAAGAGGGTCAAAGGACAGATGGTGGAGGGTGTCCAGGCTCGGGGTCTCTCAAGTAAACGGGAATTGCTTTAGGAACACGCCAAACGGCACCACATGGCAAGGACTTGGATGCCCAGAGCGGCGTCTGCATTAGACATCTGACCTCCTCCCCTCGCCTCTCCCACCGACAGGTCAGCCCAAGGCCGCACCCTCGGTCGCTCTGTTCCCGCCCTCCACTGACGAGCTCAGCAACGACAAGGCCACGCTGGTGTGCCTCATCAGTGACTTCTACCCCGGCGTCGTGACGGTGGCCTGGAAGAAAAATGGCAGCCCCGTCACCCAGGGCGTGGAGACCACCAAGCCCTCCAAACAGAGCAACAACAAGTACGCGGCCAGCAGCTACCTGAGCGTGTCGCCCAGCACGTGGAAGTCAGCCAGCAGCTACAGCTGCCACGTCACGCACGAAGGCAGCACCGTGGAGAAGTCCGTGACCCCCTCGGAGTGTTCCTAGGACCTGAGCCCCATGTTCGGGGCCGCTCTCCCACAAGATCCCCCACTCCCCGGCTCCCCACCGTGGCCCTGGGACTCCTGCCCAGGGCTGCTGAGGCGGGGCAGGTCTCCCCGACTCCCCGCTTCCCATCGTCCTCAATAAAGTCTTGATCATGTATCACGGTCTGAATCTGGTGTGTAGTCGCCATGTGAGGACGTCTCTGGGACGAAGGGCTGCTGACCCCGGCTCAGGGGCCTTTCCAGGGGGAAAATGGTTCCCTGGCCTCCCACCCACCTAATTCCCCGGGATGAAGCTGCAGTCTCAGTACGAGGAGAAGCCATGACCCAGAGGGTGGACTTGTCCTGCAGGGCTGACCCCAGGGACCCAGTCCGTGTCACCTGGGGAGGCAGAAGTGCTGAGAGAGAGGCTTCTGGGCACTTTTTGGGTCAGAAAGAAATGAGGAGGTTTCAGGAGGGTCAGTGGTAGGAAACAGAGAGGAGGACTCTTGAGCCGAGCCCTCTTCTTAAAGGGACAGCAGTTTATTTTCCTGTTCCTCGGGAAGCCCACAGGAACCACAGAAATCTGGGCGATATCTCCCCAAACTCCATGTCGCAAACTTCAGCACTGAATACTAACCAAGTGCAGACACGGATTAGGTCGGCAGCAAACGCTCAATTGGTTTCTAGTGTGAACATGTGGTGTTCGCCCTCATGAGTGGAAGAGACAGGACAGAATAGGGCACCTTCCTGGGCACGGAGAGAATGCCATGTCCTAACCAGGGACACTGTGTCACCTGGAATTGAGAAGCAGAGCGGGGGCAGGTCAGAAGACCTCAGGACAGTGGGAGCGTGGCCCACGGGCGCAGTAGGGCCAGCCTCCCGGGTGACCCAGCACCGCCTTTGCTCAGGGCCCCTCCCCAGCGTGAGCGCATTCCAGGGCTGACCAGCGGCTCTCCTTCACACCAGAGGGCCTGTGCTTCCTTCGGAAACGGAAAGACGACACTCTCTTTCCATTCCAGCTCACCAATTGACAGCAAGGTGTCCAGGCACCCCCCTCAGGGGATAAATAACATTTAAAACAATGGCTAACAATACATCGTGGGTGTATCTGCTACACAAATACATGGTTGTACCCCTCTCGTGTCGATGGCCATAGGGTGGCATATGTTGGAACTAGCATCTCGGAGCCTGTTCACGTGGCCTCTGGGGACACTGACACGACCTGGGAAAATAAATGGCTCCTGCTTTATGTTGACAACAGGGTCGCCGCTCCCCTGGCGCCTTTCCATCCCACACTGGAATCGACCGGTGATCAGAGGGCGCTGACTTGAATGTAGGATTCGGGACCCCAGGCCCTAAACCTGCAAACCCGATTCTGGAGAGACACGGAGAGTGTCTGGAGTTCATCGAGGAGGAGGGGCTGCCATTACTTGGTGTGTAAGTAGCTGACCCCTCGGGCAATCACAGAGTCTCCCGTCCACAGGGAACGTGAGGAGGAGGCCTGAGGGTGGAGCGGGGGTCAGTGCTACATTCCCACAGCGACCGCTGGCCAGGGCCCTGCCTCCTCCGCTGCAGGGTAGCGGGACACCCCGCCAAGCCCTGCAGGAAGGGAACGTCTCTTCACGGCCGGGCGACCTGGCTCCTGTTCCTGGTCACGCTGAAGGCCATGGAGACACGAGGGCCCAGACAGCAGCCACACTGTGCAGCCTGGCTCTCCAGGGAGACTGCTGATGAGCACATGCAGACACGGGTGCTGTCTCACGGTGTGGCTGGGAGGTGGGGCGGGGGCTTCAGGGCCCCATGCGGAGCAGACAGCAGCCTGGGGCAGAGGCCCAGGCTCCCCCCATCGCAGCTGCAGGTGGGGGGCTCAGGGGTGGGGCAGGCCCTCTCTCAGAGGTTTTTGTATGAGGCTGTGTCACAGTGTTGGGTATTCGGCGGAGGGACCCATCTGACCGTCCTCGGTGAGTCGCTCCTTCCCCCTCCTTCCCTGGTCTTCCACACTATTGGGCAGTTTTCTGCTGTTTTTCCTCCCTCTCGGGTTTTCCTCTCAGCCTGTACCCAAGCTTTCACCCTGCATCCCAACCCTTGGGACCCAGAGCTCCTCTTGTCCCCTTTCTCCCTGTCCTACGAGCCTCCTCGGCTCACTCTCAGACACTCCTCTTGACCCCAGAGACAGAGGAATGGACACGGTGACCTGTAGACTCTTCTCTGTGTCTGCCAGCGTCAGGCCGGGTTCCTGACGGGCCCTGTTCTGTGCTCCTCTTTGGGTTCTGGTCTAACAAGTTTATTGCGAGGGCTTCCTAGGGGCCCCTCTTACGGGGAAGAGAGGAGAAGTGGTCCAGAGGGGTGGACCGCGTGGAGGCTTTAGGAGGACCTGGAACCCTCAGGGCCCAGGCTTGAGACACACCTGGGTCAGCTGTGCGGGTCGGATGTTCAGGGAAGGTCCTTGGAGAGGTGGGGCTCCTGCTCACGGACCGAGGTTGACACGGGCGTGGGCAGGCTCTCCGGGGCCAGCACAGAGCTGCTCTGCAGTGGCCCCCACCACACAGGCAGCCCCGCCGGAGGGAGAACACAGTGGGGAGGAGAAGGTGCTCGAGGAAGGGTCACCCAGTGACAGAGGATGAGGACCAGGTGGGCTCCTCGGTCTCTGTGGGAAAGCTTCCCTGGGAGAAGTGCAGACTCCATAGCCTGAAAGCTCTGGCGCTGTGACCCGTTTGCTGAGTGGGGCGGCGGGGGGTGACAAATGTACATGGAGGGAGACAGAAACAGTTCCGTTGGACTCGCCAAGATTTACAACGTCAGGGAAGGTCCAGGAGAGAGCGGTTCCAGAAACAATCGGACCCCTTAGATCAACGACCTTAAGACTTCAACAGTTACGTGTCAGGTCAGAAATGTACACCGAGTGACCCAAGAGGAGGCCAGAGAGCTATGTCATCTTTTCTAAGGGCAAAGAGATAGACAGACCTTGTCCCAATATCCAGAGGAGACAGAGCCAAGAGCGTGAGAGTCAGATGTCTCTATGTCAGGACAGGGTCCCAATGGACAGGGGACGGCTGGTGTCCAGACTCAGGGCCTTTCAGGAAAATGGCAAGTTCCTTTAAGAACACGGCAAACTACTCGACATGGTAAGGATGCTTAGAGCCAGAGTGGCCTCTGCTCTTGACATCGACCTCCTGTCCCTCCCCCACCGACAGGTCAGCCCAAGGCCGCACCCTCGGTCGCTCTGTTCCCGCCCTCCACTGACGAGCTCAGCAACGACAAGGCCACGCTGGTGTGCCTCATCAGTGACTTCTACCCCGGCGTCGTGACGGTGGCCTGGAAGAAAAATGGCAGCCCCGTCACCCAGGGCGTGGAGACCACCAAGCCCTCCAAACAGAGCAACAACAAGTACGCGGCCAGCAGCTACCTGAGCGTGTCGCCCAGCACGTGGAAGTCAGCCAGCAGCTACAGCTGCCACGTCACGCACGAAGGCAGCACCGTGGAGAAGTCCGTGACCCCCTCGGAGTGTTCCTAGGACCTGAGCCCCATGTTCGGGGCCGCTCTCCCACAAGATCCCCCCACTCCCCCGGCTCCCCACCGTGGCCCTGGGACTCCTGCCCAGGGCTGCTGAGGCGGGGCAGGTCTCCCCGACTCCCCGCTTCCCATCGTCCTCAATAAAGTCTTGATCATGTATCACGGTCTGAATCTGGTGTGTAGTCGCCATGTGAGGACGTCTCTGGGACGAAGGGCTGCTGACCCCGGCCCAGGGGCCTTTCCAGGGGGGAAAATGGTTCCCTGGCCTCCCACCCACCTAATTCCCCGGGATGAAGCTGCAGTCTCAGTACGAGGAGAAGCCATGACCCAGAGGGTGGACTTGTCCTGCAGGGCTGACCCCAGGGACCCAGTCCGTGTAACCTGGGGAGGCAGAAGTGCTGAGAGAGAGGCTTCTGGGCACTTTTCTGGGTCAGAAAGAAATGAGGAGGTTTCAGGAGGGTCACTGGTAGGAAACAGAGAGGAGGACCCTTGAGCCGAGCCCTCTTCTTAAAGGGACAGCAGTTTATTTTCCTGTTCCTCGGGAAGCCCAGTAGAACCACAGAAATCTGGGCGATATCTCCCCAAACTCCATGTCGCAAACTTCAGCACTGAATACTAACCAAGTCCAGACACGGATTAGGTCAGCAGCAAACGCGTAATTGGTTTCTACTGTGAACATGTGGTGTTCACCGCCATGAGTGTAGGGCTGAGGACAAGGAAGGGCACTTTCCTGCGCAGGGAGAGGGAACCATGTCCTGTCAGGGACACGGTTTCACCTGGAATTGAGAAGCAGAGGGGGGGCAGGTCAGAAGACCTCAAGACACTGGGAGCGTGGGCCTGGGCTGCAAGACACTCCGGGCCAGCACCGCCTTTGCTCACGGCCCTTCCCCCCAGGCGAGCGCCTCCCGGGGTGACTCCAGTGGCTCCCCCCCGACCCTGGAGTGTGTCAGTCCTCTAGTAGAAGGGGAAATGCAGATTCTTTCTTTATATCTCACTTTATCAATGAGGGCAAGGTTCCCTACCCCCTGCGAGGGGAGAAATAACATTTAAAACCAGACTACACTGGATTGTGTCTGTATCGCAGCGTGAATACGCGCCCGTTATCCCCCAGTGACATTGGCTATGGAGTCGCAACTGTTGGAATTTACCTACGTGGAACATCTTCACGTGGGTCCTGGGACTCGCACGTGACATGGGAACATAATTGGCTCCTGCTTTACGAATGACAACAGGTTTCTCACTCACCTGGCGCCTTTAAACACCCGTGGCTGGACTCCCCCACTGATCAGTTTTCCTGAAACAATTGTAGGATTCAGGACCCCTAACTCTCTTCCTATAGAACCCGATTCTGGAGGGAAGAGGAGGTTCTCCCAAGTTCGCGGTGGAGGAGGGGCTGGCATTACTTGCAGTAGAAGCTGAGGACCCCTTCGGGGCAATAACAGACTCTCCCGTCCACAGGGAACATCAGGCTGAGACCTCAGGGTACAGTGGGGGTCAGTGCTACATTCCCACAGCGACTGCCTGCCTGGGCCCTGCCTCTTCCCCTGCGGGGATGCGGGACACTCCGAACTCCTGCAAGAAGGGAACTTCTCTTCACGGCCGGGCCACCTGGCTCCTTTCCTGGTTCTGGTGAGGGCCATGGAGACACACGGGCCCAAAGAACAGCGACACTGTGCAGCCTGGCTCTTCAGGGAGACTGCTGATGTGCACATGCAGAGACGGGTCCTGTAACACGTTGTGGCTGGGGGGAGGGTGGGGGGCTTCAGGGCCCCATGCGGAGCAGACAGCAGCCTGGGGCAGAGGCCCAGGCTCCCCCCACGGCAGCTGCAGGTGGGGGGGCTCAGGGTGGGGCAGGGCCTCCCACAAGGTTTTTGTATGAGGCTGTGTCACAGTGTAATGTGTTCGGCGGAGGGACCCATCTGACCGTCCTCGGTGAGTCTCTCCTTCCTCCTCCTTCCCTACCTTCCCACACTTTGGGGTTTTCTGCTGTTTTTCCTCCTTCTCAAGGTTTACTCTCAGCCTGGAACCAAGCTTTCACCCTGCATCCCAACCCTTGGGATGATGAGCTCCTCTTGTCCCTGTTCTCACTGTCCCTCTTGCCTCCACTGCTCCCTCTCAGACACTCCTGTCTGACCGCAGAGACAGAGGAATGGACAGGGTGACCTGTAGACGCTTCCATGGGTCAGGCAGGGTCAGGCCGTGGTCCTGTCCGGGCTCTCTCCTGTGCTCCCCTTCGGGTCTGGTCTACCAGATTTATTTGTAGGGGTTCTTGGGGATCGTCTCCCAAGGAGAAGGGAGGAGAAGTAGTCCTGAGGGCTTGACCACGTGGAGAAGATAGGAAGGCCCAGCACCCTCAGGGCCATTGCTAGAGACACACGAGGTCAGAGGTTCTGGGAAGGTCCTCAGGAGGTGGGGCTCATGCTCACGGGCCCGGAATGATGCAGGGTGGACGGGCTCCCTCGGACCAGAGCAAAGCTGCCATGCAGTGTCCTTTACTGCATGGGTCGAGACAGCCCTGCAGGAGAGGGCACGCAGTAGGGACGAGAAGGTGCTAGAGGAAGCGTCATGCAATGACAGGGGATGGGACAAGCGAGCTCTTCGGTTTCTGTTCGAAGAACTTCACTGGGAGAAGCGCAGACATATCAAGAAGGCTCTGGTGGGGGGCTTGTGTCCTGAGTGTGGAGGGGGGATGCAAGGCACGAGGAGGTGGACAGAAAGACTTCCGTTTGACTAGACAAACTTACCATGTCGGGGAAGGTCCAGCAGAGACAGGTTTCAGAAAACGCTGACCCGTTAGATCAAAGACCCTAAGACTTCACGGAAAAGCGTCAAGTCAGAAGTGTACTGAGATGGACCAAGGGGAGGTCATGTCATCTTTTTCTGGTGACAAACAGGTAGACAGAAGCTTGTCCCAAGATCAGAGGAAAAGGCATGGCCAAGAGGGTGAGAGTAGGAGGCTTCTGTGGCAGAAGGGGGTTCAAAAGGACAGGTGACGGCTCGGGTCCGGGCTCAGGGCCTCTGAGGGAAATGGGAGTTGCTTCAAGAACATGGCAAACGGCTCTACATGGAAAGGACCGCGGGGCCCAGAGTGGCCTCTGAGCGGGACATCAGACCTCCTCCCCTCCCCTCCCTCCACCCCCACCCACAGGTCAGCCCAAGGCCGCACCCTCGGTCGCTCTGTTCCCGCCCTCCACTGACGAGCTCAGCAACGACAAGGCCACGCTGGTGTGCCTCATCAGTGACTTCTACCCCGGCGTCGTGACGGTGGCCTGGAAGAAAAATGGCAGCCCCGTCACCCAGGGCGTGGAGACCACCAAGCCCTCCAAACAGAGCAACAACAAGTACGCGGCCAGCAGCTACCTGAGCGTGTCGCCCAGCACGTGGAAGTCAGCCAGCAGCTACAGCTGCCACGTCACGCACGAAGGCAGCACCGTGGAGAAGTCCGTGACCCCCTCGGAGTGTTCCTAGGACCTGAGCCCCATGTTCGGGGCCGCTCTCCCACAAGATCCCCCACTCCCCGGCTCCCCACCGTGGCCCTGGGACTCCTGCCCAGGGCTGCTGAGGCGGGGCAGGTCTCCCCGACTCCCCGCTTCCCATCGTCCTCAATAAAGTCTTGATCATGTATCACGGTGTGAATCTGGTGTGTAGTCGCCATGTGAGGACGTCTGTGGGACGAAGGGCTGCTGACCCCGGCTCAGGGGCCTTTCCAGGGGGAAAATGGTTCCCTGGCCTCCCACCCACCTAATTCCCCGGGATGAAGCTGCAGTCTCAGTACGAGGAGAAGCCATGACCCAGAGGGTGGACTTGTCCTGCAGGGCTGACCCCAGGGACCCAGTCCGTGTGACCTGGGGAGGCAGAAGTGCTGAGAGAGAGGCTTCTGGGCACTTTTTGGGTCAGAAAGAAATGAGGAGGTTTCAGGAGGGTCAGTGGTAGGAAACAGAGAGGAGGACCCTTGAGCCGAGCCCTCTTCTTAAAGGGACAGCAGTTTATTTTCCTGTTCCTCGGGAAGCCCAGTAGAACCACAGAAATCTGGGCGATATCTCCCCAAACTCCATGTCGCAAACTTCAGCACTGAATACTAACCAAGTCCAGACACGGATTAGGTCGGCAGCAAACGCGCAATTGGTTTCCACTGTGAACATGTGGTGTTCGCCCTCATGAGGTGAAGAGACAGGACAAGGAATAGGGCACCTTCCTGGGCACGGAGAGAATGCCATGTCCTAACCAGGGACACGGTGTCACCTGGAATTGAGAAGCAGAGCGGGGGGCAGGTCAGAAGACCTCAGGGCAGTGGGAGCGTGGCCCACGGGCGCAGTAGGGCCAGCCTCCCGGGTGACCCAGCACCGCCTTTGCTCAGGGCCCCTCCCCAGCGTGAGCGCATTCCAGGGCCGACCAGCGGCTCTCCTTCACACCAGAGGGCCTGTGCTTCCTTCAGAAACGGAAAGAGGACACTCTCTTTCCATTCCAGCTCACCAATTGACAGCAAGGTGTCCAGGCACCCCCTCAGGGGATAAATAACATTTAAAACAATGGCTAACAATACATCGTGGGTGTATCTGCTACACAAATACACGCGTTGTACCCCTCTCGTGTCGATGGCCATAGGGTGGCATATGTTGGAACTAGCGTCTCGGAGCATCTTCACGTGGCCTCTGGGGACACTGACACGACATGGGAAAATAAATGGCTCCTGCTTTACGATGACAACAGGGTCGCCGCTCCCCTGGCGCCTTTCCATCCCACACTGGAATCGACCGCTGATCAGAGGGCGCTGACTTGAATTGTAGGATTCGGGACCCCAGGCCCTAAACCTGTAAACCCGATTCTGGAGAGACACGGAGAGTGTCTCGGAGTTCATCGAGGAGGAGGGGCTGCCATTACTTGGTGTGTAAGCTAGCTGACCCCTCGGGGCAATAACAGAGTCTCCCGTCCACAGGGAACGTGAGGAGGACGCCTGAGGGTGGAGCGGGGGTCAGTGCTACATTCCCACAGCGACCGCTGGCCAGGGCCCTGCCTCCTCCGCTGCGGGGATGCGGGACCCCGCCAAGCCCTGCAGGAAGGGAACGTCTCTTCACGGCCGGGCGACCTGGCTCCTGTTCCTGGTCACGCTGAAGGCCATGGAGACACGAGGGCCCAGAGAGCAGCCACACTGTGCAGCCTGGCTCTCCAGGGAGTCTGCTGATGAGCACATGCAGACACGGGTGCTGTCTCACGGTGTGGCTGGGAGGTGGGGCGGGGGGCTTCAGGGCCCCATGCGGAGCAGACAGCAGCCTGGGGCAGAGGCCCAGGCTCCCCCCACCGCAGCTGCAGGTGGGGGGCTCAGGGGTGGGGCAGGCCCTCTCTCAGAGGTTTTTGTTTGAGGCTGTGTCACAGTGTGCTGTGTTCGGCGGAGGGACCCATCTGACCGTCCTCGGTGAGTCGCTCCTTCCCCCTCCTTCCCTGCTCCTCCACACTTTTGTGCGGTGTTCTGCTGCTTTTTCTTCTTCTCAGGGTTTACTCTCAGCCAGTACCCAAGCTTTCACCCTCCATCCCAACCATTAGGACAATGAGCTCCTCTTGCCCCCTTTCTCCCTGTCCTCCTTGCCTCCACAGCTCACTCTCTCACACTCCTGTCTGACCCTGAGACCGGGGAAGTGACAGGGTGACTTGCAGACTCTCCTATGTGTCTGCCAGGGTCAGGCCGGGTTCCTGATTCCGGTTCTCTGGCCTGTGCTCCCCTTCGGGCTCTGGCGTACCAAGTTTATTAGTAGGGGTTACTAGGGGTCCCCTCCTAAGGGGAAGAGAGGATAAGGGTAGTCCTGAGAGGCTGACAACATGTGGAGACGTTAGAAGGACCCTGCACCCTCAGGGCCAAGGCTATGGACACAGGATGATCAAAAATGGTCCTTGAGGAAGCGGGGGTCATGCTCACGGGCCGGGACTGATGCAGGCGAACACGGGCTCCAGCGTCCCTGCGCGGAGCAGCCGCGCTGTGGCGCTTTACTGCCACACTGGGACGCGACGGCCCTGCAGGAGCAAGAACACAGTGGGGACGAGAAGGTGCTGGAGCAAGGGTCACCGAATGACAGGGATGAGGGCAACGGGGGCTCCTCGGTCTCTGTGGGAAAAACTTCACTGGGAGAAGTGCAGACTCCACAGCCTGAAAGGTCTCGTGGTGTGACCCGTTTGCTGAGTGTGTTGGGGGCTGACTAGCGCACAAGGAGTCAGACCCCAGGACAGACAGAAAGACTTCTGTTGCACCTCAGAAATACCTATCATGTGACAGAGGGTGTAGAGAGACAGGTTCAGGGAAGAACGCTGACCCCTTAGACGCAGCCCCTAAGACCCCAGCACAAAAGTGCCAGGTCAGAAATGTACTGAGATGGACCCAAGAACAGGCCAGAGAGCTCATATCCCTTTTCCCAGGAACAAACAGACAGGCAGAAGCTGTCAGATTGTAGGAAAAGGCAGAGCCAGGTGAGTGACAATGAGACATCTGTGTGGCAGAAGAGGGTCAAAAGGACAGATGGTGGAGGCGAGTCCAGACTCGGTGTCTCTCAAGAAACGGGAATTGCTTCAGGAACACGCCAAACGGCTCCACATGGCAAGGACGTTGGATGCCCAGAGCGGCGTCTGCATTAGGACATCTGACCTCCTCCCCTCGCCTCTCCCACCCACAGGTCAGCCCAAGGCCGCACCCTCGGTCGCTCTGTTCCCGCCCTCCACTGACGAGCTCAGCAACGACAAGGCCACGCTGGTGTGCCTCATCAGTGACTTCTACCCCGGCGTCGTGACGGTGGCCTGGAAGAAAAATGGCAGCCCCGTCACCCAGGGCGTGGAGACCACCAAGCCCTCCAAACAGAGCAACAACAAGTACGCGGCCAGCAGCTACCTGAGCGTGTCGCCCAGCACGTGGAAGTCAGCCAGCAGCTACAGCTGCCACGTCACGCACGAAGGCAGCACCGTGGAGAAGTCCGTGACCCCCTCGGAGTGTTCCTAGGACCTGAGCCCCATGTTCGGGGCCGCTCTCCCACAAGATCCCCCACTCCCCGGCTCCCCACCGTGGCCCTGGGACTCCTGCCCAGGGCTGCTGAGGCGGGGCAGGTCTCCCCGACTCCCCGCTTCCCATCGTCCTCAATAAAGTCTTGATCATGTATCACGGTCTGAATCTGGTGTGTAGTCGCCATGTGAGGACGTCTCTGGGACGAAGGGCTGCTGACCCCGGCTCAGGGGCCTTTCCAGGGGGAAAATGGTTCCCTGGCCTCCCACCCACCTAATTCCCCGGGATGAAGCTGCAGTCTCAGTACGAGGAGAAGCCATGACCCAGAGGGTGGACTTGTCCTGCAGGGCTGACCCCAGGGACCCAGTCCGTGTCACCTGGGGAGGCAGAAGTGCTGAGAGAGAGGCTTCTGGGCACTTTTCGGGGTCAGAAAGAAATGAGGAGGTTTCAGGAGGGTCAGTGGTAGGAAACAGAGAGGAGGACCCTTGAGCCGAGCCCTCTTCTTAAAGGGACAGCAGTTTATTTTCCTGTTCCTCGGGAAGCCCAGAGGAACCACAGAAATCTGGGCGATATCTCCCCAAACTCCATGTCGCAAACTTCAGCACTGAATACTAACCAAGTCCAGACACGGATTAGGTCAGCAGCAAACGCGTAATTGGTTTCTACTGTGAACATGTGGTGTTCACCGCTCATGAGGTGAAGGACAGGACAGAAAGGGCACCTTCCTGCGCCGGGAGAGGATACCATGTCCTGCCAGGGACACGGTTTCACCTGGAATTGAGAAGCAGAGCGGGGGCAGGTCAGAAGACCTCAGGGCAGTGGGAGCGTGGGCCCGGGCTGCATAGACCACTCCGGGCAGCACCGCCTTTGCTCAGGGCCCCTCCCCCCAGCGCGAGCGCACTTCCACGGTGACCCAGCGGCTCCCCCTCGACACCAGGAGCCTGTGCTCTCCTCTAGGAAGGGGAAAGCAGACTCTCTCTTTCCATATCTCACTCACCAATGAGAGCAAGGTTCCGGCACCCCCTGCGAGGGGAGAAATAACATTTAAAACCAGGCTAACACTGGATCGTGGCTGTATCGCTGCGCAAATACGCACGGTTATCCCCCAGTGACATTGGCTATGGAGTGGCAATGTTGGAATCTACATCTCGTGGAACATGTTCACGTGGTCCTGGGACACTCGCACTGACATGGGAACATAATTGGCTCCTGCTTTACGAATGACAACAGGGTTCTCACTCCCCTGGCGCCTTTAACACCCGGGCTGGAATCGACCACTGATCAGTTGTCCTGAAACGAATTGTAGGATTCGGGACCCCAGCTCTATTCCTATAGAACCCGATTCTGGAGAGACAGCGGAGGTTCTCGAGTTCTCGGTGGAGGAGGGGCTGCCATTACTTGGAGTAGAAGCTGAGCGACCCCTTCGGGCAATCACAGACTCTCCCGTCCACAGGGAACATCAGGAGGAGACCTGAGGGTACAGCGGGGGTCAGTGCTACATTCCCACAGCGACCGCCTGCCTGGGCCCTGCCTCCTCCCCTGCGGGGATGCGGGACACCCGCAACCCTGCAAGAAGGGAACGTCTCTTCACGGCCGGGCCACCTGACTCCTTTCCTGGTTCCGCTGAGGGCCATGGAGACACGACGGTCCCAACAGACAGCGACACTGTGCAGCCTGGCTCTCCAGGGAGCCTGCTGATGAGGACATGCAGAGACGGGTGCTGTGTCACGGTGTGGCTGGGAGGAGGGTGGGGGCTTCAGGGCCCCATGCGGAGCAGACAGCAGCCTGGGGCAGAGGCCCAGGCTCCCCCCACGGCAGCTGCAGGTGGGGGGGCTCAGGGGTGGGGCAGGGCCTCTCACAAGGTTTTTGTCTGAGGCTGTGTCACAGTGTACTGTGTTCGGCGGAGGGACCCATCTGACCGTCCTCGGTGAGTCGCTCCTTCCCCCTCCTTCCCTACTCTTCCCACACTTTTGGGTGCTCTGCTGTTTTTCCTCCTTCTCAAGGTTTACTCTCAGCCTGTAACCAAGCTTTCACCCTGTATCCCAACCATTGGGACAATGAGCTCCTCTTGCCCCTGTTCTCACTGTCCCTCTTGCCTCCACTGCTCACTTCTCAGACACTCCTCTCTGACCCAGAGACAGAGGAATGGACAGAGTGACTTGTAGACGCTTCCGTGTGTCAGGCAGGGTCAGGCTGTGGTCCTGATTCCGGGTTCTCTGCCTGTGCTCCCCCTTCGGGTCTGGTCTACCAAATTTATTTGTAGGGGTTACTTGGGGATCGTCTCCCAAGGGGAAGAGAGGATAAGGGTAGTCCTGAGGGCTGACAACATGTGGAGACAGATAGGAAGGCCCAGCACCCTCAGGGCCAAGGCTAGGACACAGAGGTCAGAGGAAGGTCCTCAGGACGTGGGGCTCCTGCTCACGGGCCGGGAATGATGCAGGCGAGGACGGGCTCCCTCGGCCCAGAGCAAAGCCGCCTGCAGTGGCCTTTACTGCATGGGTCGAGACAGCCCTGCAGGAGCAAGGGCACACAGTAGGGACGAGAAGGTGCTAGAGGAAGGGTCACGCAATGACAGGGGATGGGACAAGCGGGCTCCTCGGTCTCTGTTGGAAGAACTTCACTGGGAGAAGCGCAGACTCCATCATGAAGGCTCTGGTGGGGGGCTTGTGTCGCTGAGTGTGGTGGGGGGATGACAAGGCACGAGGAGGCGGACAGAAAGACTTCTGTTGGACTCAGAAAAACTTACCATGTCGGGAGAGGGTCCAGCAGAGACAGGTTTCAGAAAACGCTGACCCCTTAGATCAAAGCCCCTAAGACTTCACGGAAAAGCGTCAAGCAGAAATGTACTGAGATGGACCCAAGAGGAGGTCAGGATCATACCTTTTCCGGTGACAAACAGGCAGACAGAAGCTCTCACAAGATTAGTAGGAAAAGGCATGAGCCAAGAGGGTGACATATGATGCTTCTGTGTGGCAGAAGAGGGTTCAAAAGGACAGGTGATGGCTCGGGTCCAGGCTCAGGGTCTCTGAGGGAAACGGGAGTTGCTTCAGGAACACGCCAAACGGCACTACATGGCAAGGACCGCGGTGCCCAGAGCGGCCTCTGACGGGACATCAGACCTCCTCCCCTCCCCTCCCTCCTCCCCCACCGACAGGTCAGCCCAAGGCCGCACCCTCGGTCGCTCTGTTCCCGCCCTCCACTGACGAGCTCAGCAACGACAAGGCCACGCTGGTGTGCCTCATCAGTGACTTCTACCCCGGCGTCGTGACGGTGGCCTGGAAGAAAAATGGCAGCCCCGTCACCCAGGGCGTGGAGACCACCAAGCCCTCCAAACAGAGCAACAACAAGTACGCGGCCAGCAGCTACCTGAGCGTGTCGCCCAGCACGTGGAAGTCAGCCAGCAGCTACAGCTGCCACGTCACGCACGAAGGCAGCACCGTGGAGAAGTCCGTGACCCCCTCGGAGTGTTCCTAGGCCCTGAGCCCTGTTACCCCCGGGGATCGAACCACATATCCCTAGAAATATCTCTTTACAAACCCCAATCATCCTTTGTGAACGAAATCCCCTCTTAATAAATATCTTCATTATCAATCATACATAATGGCTCTGGTAATTTGTCATTTATTCACTGTTGTTCAGAACTCCACCGGCCTCCAAGTTGAATGCAATCGTTTGGTCATCTGCAAAAGGACAGGGAAAATGGGCTCCAGGTCTCCTTAAGTGGCAATTTCACTCCTAACCTAAATTGTCCATGGAATGTTCCAGAAAGGAGGACAGGGCAGTATGACCCCTGAGCCCATCATTGACCTCTTCCCTACTACTGTTTTTCTCCTGTGGGCCATGTCCAACCTCGAGTCCCAACCAGCCTGTTCCCCCCGGACATCAGGGTAGTGCGTGAGCTTCCTTCCGCAAATCCTCAGTCTTCCCACTCACAGGCCTTCCATGGCTGCCTACCCCGTCTGGAAACTTGTCACCCTCCTAGGCTAGAGACGCCCTTCTTGCCTACAGTCCTTCCCACCACTACTCCTGCTTCCCCAGGGATGTGCACTCTGCCTCTCACTCACCTACTCACCCCAGGACCCTCTGTCCCCAGGTCCTAGGTTTCACACTCTCTGCTGGTGACCCTCATTTTCCACTGGTGTCACCAGGCTCCCAGCTCTACGCCAGGCTCCTCACACACAGGGCACAGGGCTGGCGCTCTCCCTCTATCCAATTAAGGCCAGCCCACCACTGATCCCACCACGCGGTCACATGCCCAGTCTTCTCAAGGGACATGCCTGCGTCACAGTGAAAATCAGGAGTCAGATGCTAACAATGGTCCCCTGACTGCTCAGTTATCAGTTCCTCTCCTTAGGAATGAGGCCAGAACAATAACACACACACACACACACACACCCTATACATGCACATGCACATACAGTCCCACACACAACGCTCCTAGAGACAACGGCCGTTTACAAAGATGCCCCTAGCGGACACTGCTCTGAGAAGACCTGAGAGGCTCGGGGAGGTGGTCTTCAGTGGGAACCCCAGGTGCACATGAGCAGACAGAGGCAGGTCACTGCAGTCCCGTCTTCTGGGCTCCAGAGACAACCAGTGACCATGCAAAGGGCAGGGACATTCCAGTCCAGGTTGACTTGGAGACCGGGAAACATCAGGAATCTTGTGGGAGGCAGCCTGGCCTTGAACAGCGGGCTGACCTGGGAAGGATGGGAGAGCGCTCGTTGCTTGTGACGCTGTCAGGGACAGATGCTGGGCCCGTATATCCCTTGCGTGAGGCCTGCGGATGACGTACAGGGACAAGACCGCGGGCGGAGGCCCTGGGTGTCGGGGCCGCACTCATAACACCCACATTCAGTCCAGGGCAACAGTGTGTTGTCAGGCTAGGGTGCGCCCTGTGCCAGTGACTTTCAGGGACATGTGTCATTCAAGGGAGGAAGGGGACACACTCACACACTGAAACCTCACCGAAAACACTGTGCTGGGAGCAGGGACCACCTACCTGACTGCACGGGGTCTTGAGGGGGCCATTCTAGCTCTAATGCAGCCCAGGGGCCCACACAGGCAGAAGCTGCCCACACTGCTCAGGAGGGGCTCAGCGACTGTCCCCCTGAAGCCAGAACAGCTGAGAGCAGGGACGCTACCAAGCAGATCACAGCAGCACGGGCTGGGTGCTGGGGTGACTGTGATGCTCCCACACACACTTCCCATTCCCACCCCTACCCGACTGGACCTCCTGTGCTGAGGACGTGGCGGCGTCCATGACCTCCCCACCATGCCCAGCTCCGCTCGGGGCTCCCAGCTCCATCACCGCTGTGTATAAACAGCCCTGTGCCCCAATTTCACAATGGCAATGTGCCGGGACCTGGGCCGGGACACGGCTCCTTCCCAACGGTGGAATTAGGTGAAAATCCGGATTCCGCACCAGCCCATTCCCTGCCCGGCCATATCATGAGCAGGGTTCATGGATCCCACAGCTCCATAGGATGGAAATCCCATCCGCAGGGCCACCCCTCTCACCACTGCCCCCCATTTGCCCGATCGCCACCCGTGACAAGGAGGCTGGACTTTGGGCCTCCTGTGCAGCTGCAGGTGGGCCTGGGCAGGAGGTTTGTGTTCAAGGCTGTATCACTGTGTTATGTGTTCGGCGGAGGGACCCATCTGACCGTCCTAGGTGAGTCTCTCCTTCCCTCTCCTTCCCTACTCTCCCACCCTTTTTGGCAATTTTTTGCTGTTTGCACCTCTTTTCTGGGTTTAGTCTCAGCCTGGGTTTAGTTTCACCCAGGATCCCAGCTTTTGGGACCCTGACCTCCTCCTGTCCCCTTCCTCACTGTCCAACTTGCCTCCACTGCTCACTCTCAGACCTTCGGCTCTGACCCCGAGACAGGGGAATGGACAGGGTGACTTGTAGTCTCTTCCACGTGTCTGCCAGGGCCAGGCTGGGTTCCTGACAGGCTCTGTTCTGTGCTCCCCTTCGGGCTCTGGTGTACCAGGTTTATGTATAAGGGTTACTAGTTGTCCAGGGTCTCCTCTCAAGGGGAAGAAGGGATAAGTAGTCCAGAGAGGGTGACCACGTGGAGACTTTTGAAGGACCCAGAACCCTCAGGGCCAAGGCCACAGACACAAGTGTAGGGGACAGGGAATGTCCTCCAGGATGTGCAACTGGTGATCTTGGCCAGGAACGATGCAGGGTAGATGGGCCCCCCGGGGCCAGCGCAGAGCTGCCATGCAGTATCCCCCACCAGACTGGGATGAGAGAGCCTTGCAGGAGAAAGAACACAGTGGGAAGGAGAAGGGGCTGGTGGAAGGGTCATTTAATGACAGACGATGAGGACACAGAGGGCCAATTGGTCTCTCAGAGACAAACACTTCACAAGAAGAAGCACAGACTCTATAGCCTGAAAGCTCTGGTGGTTTGTACAGTTTGCTAAGTGTGGAGCGGGCTGCCATGTGTACAAGGAGACAGAGCCGAGGACAGATGCAAAGACTTCTGTTTGACTAGAAAAATGCTATCATGTCAGGAAAGGTATGAGAGAGAGGATTCAGGAAAAAAAAAACTGACCCTTAGAGCAAAGACCTAAGACTCCAGCACAAAAGGGTCAGGTCAGAAATGTAGAGATTGACCCAAGAGGAGGTCAGAGAGGTCATGTCATCATTTCTGGTGACAGACGGACAGACCCTGTCACAAGATCAGGAAAAGACAGGGCCTAGAAGGTGACAGTAGGATGTCTCTGTGGCAGAAGAGGGTTCAAAAGGACAGGTGATGGTTCCTGCCCAGACACAGGGTCTTTCAGAAAAATGGGGAGTTGTTTCAGGAACACGGCAAACTGCTCTACATGGAAAGGACCACAGGGCCTAGAGTGCTCTGAACTAGACATCTGACCTCCTCCCCTCCCCTCTCCCACCGACAGGTCAGCCCAAGGCCGCACCCTCGGTCGCTCTGTTCCCGCCCTCCACTGACGAGCTCAGCAACGACAAGGCCACGCTGGTGTGCCTCATCAGTGACTTCTACCCCGGCGTCGTGACGGTGGCCTGGAAGAAAAATGGCAGCCCCGTCACCCAGGGCGTGGAGACCACCAAGCCCTCCAAACAGAGCAACAACAAGTACGCGGCCAGCAGCTACCTGAGCGTGTCGCCCAGCACGTGGAAGTCAGCCAGCAGCTACAGCTGCCACGTCACGCACGAAGGCAGCACCGTGGAGAAGTCCGTGACCCCCTCGGAGTGTTCCTAGGACCGGAGCCCCCACCCCTGGGCACTGGATCCTTAGGTCCCCCAGGAAAATCTCCCTGTCGCGACGCCTGTTTTTCTCTCTGTACTTAATCAACTGTCAATAAATTCTTGTTATTGTCAATCAGACATGGTACTCTCTGCTCATTTTTGTTTATATATTTTGGTCTCAAATTCACCTCTCTCCAAAGGTGAGCACAATCCTTTTGACCTTGTGGGAAAGAAACCAATGAAGGAGTATTTATGTTTCCCTGAGGGGGTTTCGCTCATACCCAGTAGTGCCCACAGAATGTTTCAGAACATGGGATGAGGCAGCACAGCCCAGGAGAGCCCACCATCCATGCCTTCCCTACTACTGCTTTTCCATGGACCGTGTGTATTCCCAGGACCCAATTTTCTTGGTCTCCATGGACACCGGGGAGCTCCCTTACCCCGATCTTTAGTCTTCCCATTCACAGGCTTTCCACTGCTTCCTACCCATTCTGGAAACTTCTCATCTTCACAGTAGAGCATTCCTCCTTCCTTAGCCTGCCTGCCTCATCTTGGACACTCCCATGTGCCCTGTCCCTTAGACCCTCACTGTCACAGTCACTACAGGACCCTCAGTCCCTGGCCCCTGGTCACTCACCTGCACATGTGCCCAGGACCACCCCAGAACCTGCGTCACGAGGGTTCCAGCTGCAGTCAAGCCCTGCGGGAATTAGTGGCCAGTCTGCTCTCTTTCAACCCCTTGGAGGCTGAAAGAGGCCGACCCCCGACCCCGCCACAAGCACTAAGTCAGAGTAGCCACGGGTGGCTGACAGGGCCACGAGTTTAAAGGCTCTTGAATATGATTCTGGGAATGAACATGTCTCTGAACTGATTCACATTCTTGGGGCCCTAGAATGAGGCCGGAGGACCCAAGAGACTATGGTCTCGGGAAGCTGGCACGGGATGGGGCTCTGAGCTATCATACAGACAGAAGGACTGCACAAGCACACGCGCACACACACATTCTCACTAACCGCCTCACGGACACGCATAGAACACACACTCGCACACACAGTGGCCACTGCAAACATGGCCCCATCGTTCATGTGTCCAGGGCACGTGTGGCACCCAGAACCTTCCCATGGGTCTCAGCTCTGCACAGGCTCCATATTCTCTGGGTTGTAAAGTGGATTTTTCTCTTCTCCTACCTGAGATTCCCCAAGGAGCCAGAAACACAGCTCCTTCTAGGACTATATGGTCCCTGGGACATAATGGGACACTCAGACACTCCCTCCTATTCCCTCCATGACTGGGGATGGATGGAAGGTTACCCCTCAAGGAAACAAAGCTGCAGGTGGGGAGATGACCACCCTCCCTCACCCTCCCATCAGCCAGACCGGCCCCCATGACAAGGAGGCTGGACTCTGGGCCTCCCCTGCAGCTGCAAGTGGGCCTGGGCAGGGGCTGGAGGGGGTGCCGGGAGGTTTATGTTCAAGGCTGTATCACTGTGTGCTGTGTTCGGCAGCGGGACCTATCCAACTGTCCTGGGTGAGTCTATTCCTTTCCCTCCTCCTAGGAGTCGAATGAAATTTGAGTCAGTTTTCTTCTTCTTTCCGTCCACCCTGGGCCTAGGGTCTGAATTGCTCAGCATTCTGTATTATTCACCTTTTTAGTCTGCCCTTCTCAGCCCCTGGCACCCTGTTTGGCTTCTGAGGCACTTGGGGAGGACAAGATGAAAGGGTGCCAGGGACCCGTTCCTGCCCTTCCTCACTGTGACTCCAAGCTCTCCTGGAGGCCTTCTCTTCTGCACTCTGGGTTTGAAAGAGTCTTCATTTTTCCTTGAGGGGAGTTCATTCTCACCCAGAAATACCCAGAAAGTACTGCAGAAGAGAAGGTAGGGCAGAGGATCCAGGATCGTTGTCCTGGGCACCTTCTCTCTGATGACTATTCTTTTATTGTTTTCTTTCAATTTTATTTTGTATTGGTTTCAGGTGTACAGCTTAGTGTTTAGGCAATTGTATACTTCACACAGTGTTCGTCGATATTTCCAGTACCCACTGACACAGTACATAGTTATCACAATATTATTGACTGTATTTCCTATGCTGTACTTATATCCCCATGACTATTTGGCAAGTACCAATCTGTACTTTTTAATCCCTTTCCCTTTTTCACCCAGACCCCCAACACCATCCTCTCTGGCAGCCGTCAGTTCGCTCTCTGCATCTATGAGTCTGTTTCAATTTTGTTTGTTTGTTTGCTTTTCTTTAGATTCCACATACAAGGGAATCCATATGGTATTTGTCTTTCTCTGAATTATTTCACTGAACATAATACCCTCCAAGGCCATCCCTGCTGTCACAAATGATAAGCTTTTCTTCTTTTTTACGGCCAAATAATATTCCATTGTATATATGTACCACTGCTTGTTTTATCCACTCATTTATTGATGGACACTTGGGTTGCTTCCCTATGTTGGCTATTGTAAATAGTACTGCAATGGACAGAGGAGGGCATATAGACTTTTGAATTAGTGTTTTGGGTTTCTTCAGATAAATCCCAGAGGTAGAATCCCTGGGTCTTAAAGCAATCCCATTTTTAATTTTTTGAGGAAACTCCATACTGTTTCTCATGGTGGCTGCACCAATCTGCAAATGCACAAGGGTTCCCCTTTCTCCACATGCTTGCCAGCACTTGTTTGTTGATTTATCAATAATAACCATTCTGACAGGTGTGAGGTGATATCTCATTGTGGTTTTAATTTGCATTTTTTCTGACAATTAGTGACATTGAGCATCTTTTCATATGCTGTTCTATTGGCCCTCTGTATGTTCTCTTTGCAGAAGTATCTATTTAGGGCCTCTGCCCACTTCTCAACTGGATTGTTTGTGTTTTGGTGCTGAATAGTATGAGTTCTTTATAAATGTTAAATATTAACTCCTTATCAGATGCACCACTGGTGTGTATATTCTCCCATTTAGTAGGTTGTCTGTTTGTTTTGTTGATGGTTTCCTTTGCTGTGCAAAAACAGTTTTGGTCCCATTTGTTCATTTTTTTTTATTGTTTACCTTGTTCAAAGAGATATCAGAAAAAATATTGCAGAGAAATGTCAGAGATTTTCTTCTAAGATTTTTCATGGTTTTGAGTCTTATATTTAAGTCTTTAATCCATTTTGAGTTTATTCTTGTATATGGTGTAAGAAGGTGGTCTAGTTTCATTTTCTTTACTTGTATCTGTCAGTTTTCCCAGCAGCATCTGTGGAATGGACTATCTTTACTCATTGTATGTTCTTGCATTCTTTGTCAAATATTAATTGATAATATAGACACGGATTTACTTCTGGGTTCTCTATTCTGTTCCACTGATCTATATATCTGTTTTTATGCCAGTACCCTGCTGTTTTGATTACTATGGGCTTATAGTATAGTTTGATGTCAAGTAGCATGATACCTCCAACTTTGTTCTTCTTTCTCAATATTGCTAAGCTTATTTGGGTGTATGTGTGCGTGGGGGGGTGCCATATAAGTTTTTGGATTATTTGTTCTAGTTTGGCAAAATACATAATTGGTATTCTGATAAAAATTGCACTGAATCTATAAACTTATTTGTGTAGTATGGACATTTTAATGATGTTAATTCTCCCTATCCATAAACACAGTGTATGATTCCATTTTATATCTTCTTCTATTTCTTTCTTCAGTGCCTTATAATTTTCCAAGTACACATTTTTTACTCCCTTGGTTAAATTTATTCCTAGGTATTTCTTATGCAATTATAAACAGGACTGTTTTCTTAGTTTCCTTTTCTGATAGTTCATTACTGGTGTATAAAAATGCAACAGATTTCTGAATAGTAATTTTATATTCTGCTACTTACTGAATTCATTCATCAGTTCTAGTAGCTTTTTGGTGGAATCTTTAGGGGTCTCTGTGTACAGTATCATGTCATCTGTGAATGACTGTTTACTTCATCCTTTTCAATTTGGATGCCTTTTATTTCTTCTCCTTGTCTGACTGCTGTGGTTAGGACTTCCAGTACTATGTTGAATAAGAGAGGTAAAAGCAGACATCCCTGTCTTGTTCCTGATCTTAAGGGAAATGCTTTTAGTTTTTCCCTGTTGAATATGATGTCATCTGTGGGTTTGTTATATATGGCTTTTATTATGTTGGGGCATGTTCCCTCTAGTCCCACTTCGTTGAGAGATTTTATCATAATTGGGCACTAGGTTTTATCAAATGCTTTTTCTGCATCTATTAATATGACCGTGGTTTTTTTTTTAATTGCTATTCTTTTTTGGCCCACGTCCAAATCCTGTTGCCTCCCAGTGGCCTTAGGTTAATGTCTAAGCTCCCTCCTCTGGAATCCTGGGGTCTCACTATCTGGGACTGTGGGCAAGACAGCCTCCCCCAAGGTAAGATGAGAATCTGAACGCAGGGCAGACAGATGCCCTGAGGAATGATAACACCTCAAGGCTGAATCCCAACAGCACCAGTGAGCACAGGTTTGGGGTGGCGACTTATGAGAATATGAGAACTTGAGGAGAGGTTGAGGCCAACGATGAGCCCAGGACTTCCATGATTAGGGCACTGAGATTCTCCCTGCAGATCAGCAGGGCTCTCTCCATTCCCCCCACGTTGTTCCCAGCCCCGTTTCCTGCACCAGTCAACGCTCAATAAAATGCCCTCATTGTCCATCAGGAATCATGCTCCCTGCTCATTTATTTTGTCTTATATTTCATTTGCAACCCCTCCCAGTTCTTGGGATGGGGTGGGAGGAATCCTTGGTGGGAAAACACCCCGTGGGGAGAGAGCACCTCGCAGGAACCTGACCAGGGCACAAGGAGTCTGGTCACCGATCAGTCACTCTGTCCTGTCCTTCCCCCGGTTCCTCCTCCAGCTCACTATGTCCCTCCTTCCTGGTCTGAGCTCGCCATAACCAGTGACCCTCATATAAGCCCTCCCTTTCTGTTCTGGTCGGGGACCTCCTACCCCCACTTTCCTCAGCGTGGAAACCCTGCCCGGGCTCCTGGCCCTTGACCCCTGGAATGCCCTCCTTCTTCTGGGCTCAGCTCAGCTCCTGCCCACCCT